CCCGAGGCCAGTGGAGGGTAAGCTATACATTCCTGCATGATACAAAATGGAGCTGCATGACCCCCGAAAGGTCATGACAATTTGAGATTAGTGACAACAATACAATTCTCTCAAGATTCAAAAGCTTTACACATTTAATGTGGTTTTGAAAAGAAAGTTAGGCTGGTCAAACAATGGACCCATCGCACCCATGCGTCGAGTATTTCTGAGATAGAGCACCACTGCGGACCAACATGAAGATTGGTCAGCCGTGGCGCGGAGAAGCCACGCCCAAACGTTAGACACATGCGAACGATAAGTCCATGTATTTGTTACATTTTAATAAGCCAATCATATACGAATCGCGTGACTGACACGGGTGTTTTGCAAATCAAAGAGATTCGTTGTGGTTTTGAAAAGAAAGTTAGGCTGGTCAAACAATGGACCCATCGCACCCATGCGTCGAGTATTTCTGAGATCTAGAGCACCACTGCGGACCAACATGAAGATTGGTCAGCCGTGGCGCGGAGAAGCCACGCCCAAACGTTAGACACATGCGAACGATAAGTCCATGTATTTGTTACATTTTAATAAGCCCATCATATACGAATCGCGTGACTGACACGGGTGTTTTGCAAATCAAAGAGATTCGTTGTGCAGAGAAATATTCATGCATGCTAAAGCAGACTATGACATAATGTTTGATAGCATGACAATTCGGAGTACAATTATTAAGTGGCAAAGAGGGTTTTGACATGAATTCCCGGTCATCAAAACAATTTCAGTCAACCACAATAAAACAGATGGATCCAAAACAGTTGAACGCTATACAAATAATTATTGATAAAGGGTGAGGAATTCGTTCTTGACAATCCCAGTAATCAAGATCAAAGGTTAATACAAATTTGTCTACGACCCCTAGGGCAGTGGAGGGTAAGCTATACATTCCTGCATGATACAAAATGGAGCTGCATGACCCCCGAAAGGTCATGACAATTTGAGATTAGTGACAACAATACAATTCTCTTAAGATTCAAAAGCTTTACACATTTAATGCGGTTTTGAAAAGAAACTTAGGCTGGTCAAACAATGGACCCATCGCACCCATGCGTCGAGTATTTCTGAGATAGAGCACCACTGCGGACCAACATGAAGATTGGTCAGCCGTGGCGCGGAGAAGCCACGCCCAAACGTTAGACACATGTGAACGATAAGCCCATGTATTTGTTACATTTTAATAAGCCCATCATATACGAATCGCGTGACTGACACGGGTGTTTTGCAATTCAAAGAGATTCGTTGTGCAGATGAGAAATATTCATGCATGCTAAAGCAGACTATGACATAATGTTTGATAGCATGACAATTCGGAGTACAATAAGTGGCAAAGAGGGTTTTGACATGAATTCCCGGTCATCAAAACAATTTCAGTCAACCACAATAAAACAGATGGATCCAAAACAGTTGAACGCTATACAGATAATTATTGATAAAGGGTGAGGAATTCGTTCTTGACAATCCCAGTAATCAAGATCAAAGGTTAATACAAATTTGTCTACGACCCCGAGGCCAGTGGAGGGTAAGCTATACATTCCTGCATGATACAAAATGGAGCTGCATGACCCCCGAAAGGTCATGACAATTTGAGATTAGTGACAACAATACAATTCTCTTAAGATTCAAAAGCTTAACACATTTAATGCGGTTTTGAAAAGAAAGTTAGGCTGGTCAAACAATGGACCCATCGCACCCATGCGTCGAGTATTTCTGAGATAGAGCACCACTGCGGACCAACATGAAGATTGGTCAGCCGTGGCGCGGAGAAGCCACGCCCAAACGTTAGACACATGTGAACGATAAGCCCATGTATTTGTTACATTTTAATAAGCCCATCATATACGAATCGCGTGACTGACACGGGTGTTTTGCAAAACTAAGAGATTCGTTGTGCAGACGAAAAATATTCGTGCATGCTAAAGCAGACCATGACATAATGCTTGATAGCAATGACAATTCGGAGTACAATTATTAAGTGGCAAAGAGGGTTTTGACATGAATTCCCGGTCATCAAAACAAGTTCAGTCAACTACAATAAAACAGATGGACCCAAAACAATTGAATGCTATACAGATAATAATTATTGACCCAGAGTTAGGAGTTCGTTCTTGACAAACCCAGTAATCAAGATCAAAGGTTGATAACAAAAAAACATTTAAAAAAAAACTTGTCTCCAGCCCCCAGCCCAGTGGAGGGTATGCAATAAATTCCTGTATGATTTAAAAAAAAAAAAATGTTACCGTATGACTCCTGAAAGGTATACAATCATGACAATTTAGTATTCGTGACAACGTACAATTCTTCCAGGGTTCGACTGCTTTACGTATTTGGACAATCGAATTTTCCAAAATTTTCCAGAATTTTCCAGTCACAAAAAAGTAAAACACGCACACAAAAAACATCCTTTCTTTTTCTTTTTTTAAATGCAGATTTGAAATGAAGGTTAGGCTGCTCAATTAATGAACCCGTCGCTCAAAGCGTCAATTATCTTTGTGATAGGGCGTCACAGCGGACCGATGTGAGGATCGGTCAGCCGTGGCGCGGAAAAGCCGCGCCCTGTTCCAACGTAACACGCACTTGAACGACGAGCCCAAATATTTGATACAGTTTGATAAGCGTTTCATACAAATATAGGCTTTGTGATTGATACAGGTGACCCTGCAAAACAAAGATTTTCTTTAAACCTTTCCGTCGGCATGCAAATTTAACCATAATTGGGTGACATTAATGGTCTAGTATGCAATGATTCCCATGGTCGGTTACCCGTTCAGATACATGTATTTAAGTCCAAGGGTTTATATATTGCTTTAACGACTATATTCAAGGTTAATGTTGCTGTAAATGGAACAATCTAACGTGGAAATATGCTGTAAAAGAGAGGGGTTAACACGAATCAAAATCCTGTTACAAAAAGCTTCCGTAATTCAAAGCAAGATGTACTTTGACACAAATACTTGCCCATAACCCAACGGGGGTGGGGGTGGGGGTGGGGAGGGGTTGGAAAATATGTAACTTCTAACCTGCGAATTAAGTGACGTCCAAGGGTCCATGGTTAGATGGTAGCTTTATCGGCCATGTACTACTCTACGGTCTATAGGGTGGTCTATACCCCATGAGAAAAAAGGTGGGCGGGGCCAAAAATATACAGAGCTACATGTACATTCTTAGTTATAAATATATCCTGCGGTGGACTGCGAATTGAATGATGTTTATAATCAGGTTTTACCACTGGAAATTGCAGTAATAATATAATGTAATACCTCCAACATTTGGTAAAGAGTTTGGAGTTGGCAAATGCTTGGGTTTAAACTTTCCATTCATCAAGTACAGCGATGGAAAATACATGCCTCCAACCTAACGGGTGTACTTTTCGTTGATCTCTAGGGTTTTAACAGTATTATTTATTTTTTTCTTTCTTTCTTTCTTTTTCCCCTTTTTTTCTTCACACGTTACATGAAATGGCTTCCTGTAAATATATCGACCAAATTCATGGTTTTTGTAACAAAAAATATGAAAAAAGGAAGCACTTTAGTTTTATCTTAGAGCATAAGCAAAAATCAGAGTCCTGATTACAAAATTGCTTCAGAAATTCAAAATTCAAAACAAAGATTTACTTTTCATGTATTATTGTTATTTCTAAGCAAGGCATTTGAAACTCGATGCAAGCAATGTACAGTGATATTAAAGTGACATAGAATATAATTATAAGTATGATTCATAAACTTCTCGTTTACTTTACTCACTTATATCAAATTTCGTTTTTCGGACCTCAAATTAAAAGATGAATAATTGTTTGTGTCACCTGGTAAAACGTTGATTTTGCTCATTCTCTGTAGGGATTCCATGTGGTAGAACCTTTCTCCTTCCATTGGAGGACGATTTTAGCACCTTGCAACTTTATTCTCGTAGATTGGTTTTTCTCCTTTCGCAACTTGTAACCAATTTCAGCAAGATGGCCGCGATGAGCCTTCAGGGTGGGAGGGAGGTCCGTCCTGACCGTTATGCGAGGGGCAGGCGGTGGTGCATGTCGCATTTCCGCTGCGTTTCCTAGTTGCTGCGATGTTTCCTTCGGGCGTCTTAGGTTCTCAAAAGAAGAAAGAATGAGATCTCTGTCTGGCATCTTGATGAATTTAGCGATTATCGGAGCGGGTCGGGAACGGGCTGGGGCACCGGCGTCTGGGGTCCTAGGTTGGTTGCGATAGGGTAATCTGTGGGCGTTGATCATTTGGATCTGTTTGGCGGTTTCCTCATTTATTCCAAGATGGATGAAAACTTTACAAAGCGTGCGATAGATATCCTCGTTTGGTTCGCTTTCAACCCCGTAGAATAGTAGATTTGGTTTTCTGTTGTAGATTTCCATCAGAAGAAGTTTTTCTTTTAGATTAGATATCTCCTCTTGAAGGGGCGCGATGCTAGCTGGTATGGAATTTTCTACTTCAGATATTTTGGCAGAGTTAAATTCAACTGAAGATTCCACATCTGTTAGGCGACGATGAAATGATTGTAGCTCGGTATTGATATTATCAAGTTTAGATAATATTTTATCTGAAAAGTCTGCAATGTCTCGTTGTAAAACCGCATTAGAGGGATCCGGGGTGGTAGGCGAACGAACTTTGTCAGTCGAGGTAGGCGAACGAACTTTGTCAGTCGGGGGAGCCGATGGGGCCGGCTGCTTACTTGCTGTTTGTCGGGTAGTGGGCCTCGGGCCATGGGATGCCATAATTTGCGTTGTGTAACGTGTAATCTTAATGGGTGGCAGGAGCTCCGCTCAAACCGTCCGTTCAGCTCGAAGTCATGTGGCCAACAGTCAAATAAATGGAACAACAAAGGGACTTTTTTTTTCAGCAAACCATTTTTTAAATTTATTTATAAACTGGAAAATCAAAGGGGACTAGACAATATGCATGTATGCTCTTTTACAATAGACCTTGTTCCACCAAGATTTCTCTTTACAAATTACTTACCCAAGTTCATTTCCATCCATTGGATCTTTTGACAGAAGAACAGCTAATGCAGGGACATCTTTGTTCACCTTCAATCTGAGCAGGAAAAGCCAAAAGAAAACAATGTCACAATTGCAATTCTCTGTATTAGTGCAACAGAAGCAAGTTAATGCAAATGCTTCATACTCAGTGTCTGTGACTTGAGTGCTCATTGTCAACACTACAATAGTACAAAATGAATTCTGTGTATTACCTTTGTATGGTGTTACTTTCTTCTAAAGTTTTTAGACTGATCTCAAAATTATCTTACCTGTCTAGTCCTTCCTCTTTAGGTTCCCAATATTCCTCTGTTCTGTAGACAAAGAAAATATGGAAAGAGATCCTTGTTAAATTTAATTGATTTTTTTAATGATGGAAAACATGTCCCATACTAACTTGAAAACAGTTCGAATTTTCTGGCAAATCCTTCAACATCAAGTTTATGCACTTGTGACTCTCAGAAGACAAATCTAAGTTTAGGATATTCTTTGAGAAGTTATAGACCTTATCACATCCCTGACTAAGGACTTTATTTGAACTTTGGCCCAGTTTCAGGTGGATGTGAGTCGGCCTAGTGGTCATTTCTCTACTCTGACTTGCCTTCAAACCACTAAAGAATCAATCCCGAGTCACATTTTACAGATGGCGACATTATTGGTCAATCCTCAGATATATATAAGTATTCAGAAATTAATGATTGATTCACACATCGGTATGTAAAAGCACACAAACAGACATATACATACCCTCAGCACCCCCCCCCCCCCCTAATCAAGTTAACCACTCGTAAGTTCTTTCAAATCAAAATTCAAGTTGCATCTTCTTGCCACATATAAATGTCTTCCCTAATGCATACAATCACCATATAAATTATATCGTTCTGTATTATAATTGTGTTTTAGTTTGTAATGTCTTGTTTACGTCTTGAATTTTGTTATATTGTGAATTTTAATGTTTTGTATTTCCACATTTGTCATTTATGTATGGGTCTAGCCACTTCCCTCAAGCCATTGGCTTTATCGGGTGCTAATGATCCAGTACACTTCTCAATGTATATTGTACGTGATTCCTTTATGAAATAATAAATTGAATTGAATTGAATTGAACCTTCAACTGACCTTCTGAAGTAAGCCTTGTTAATTTGATGGAGGTTCTTCATCTCTCTCTTCATGATTTCCACACATGTGACGGTCTTTGTGATGGCCATCCCTGTACCTGTGAAGATTATGCTCCTATTCCCATCCTCCTACAAGAGGGAGAAAATGAAGGCTGTGTGAAGTTTAGGCTCCTGGGTCGGTATTCAATTTGATACTTTGTTTAAAGGGATCCGGTAAGTTTGTCTCAGATTCTGAATCAAAATCTTATAAACCTTTAGGTCAGTCAGGAACCTGTGACTTTTACAAGACGATTGCCTGTCTGATTATCTAGTTATTTATGATTGGAAATCGAAACCAAATTTTGCGTTTTCCTAACAGTTTTGATAACACTACAGTCTACTGGGGAAAACGAGTATGGTAAAACCGGTCACTCAAAGAATTTACTTTTTTGAGGCACTTCTTGATCATTTTGAAGCACGATATTTTTAGGCCTTCAATATTACAACATATCACAGACACTGATAACATGTAGGGCCGTGCATCTCAGATTTAACATTGTTAAAGGTAAAGACCAGTTATGGTCATGCGATTGCATTGTGAAAGAAACGTTGTGGAATCGATCAGAAAAGGTTGATCATCTAGCATCTAGCATCTGCAAGGTTCTGGAATCATCAAAATGATAAGAAATTTGGCCCATTCTTCGTAAAGTTACAAGCACTATACACAGAAAGATGTATATGGGACTACCCTATATCTCTCACAGACCATGAGAGAAACAAATTTACTAAATATATGAATTAGTAGGCAGTTTCCCGGCAAATTTTGTATCATTAGTCAAAACATATTCTTTCACATGACTGGTAATGAGAGCTTCCATTTCATTTCTTGAAATTGGGGCGTTTACAATACTGGTCTTTACCTTTAAATGATGCCTTTAAGTAAATTTTTTATTGAGCATTATGTTTAAGCTGAGTAAAATTCCTCAACTCTTATGCCGATCACATTTGAGTAATTTACTTTCTCAAGCCCACTTAACGGCAAAATACTTATTGATAAGCATTATGACATCACACAATCAATCAAAAAAAATGTGTAATTAGCGTGTTTTGTCCTTTAAGGTAGAAAAGGAAGTTACTATTCACAAAAAAAGAGAGAAAGGATGACCCCCAAAAAGAAGATGAAATAGGAACGTTAATACCTCCATTTTCTTTGTAGCAAACTGAAGCAGGTTCCTAATCTTGCTGCCATTCCTGACCTTCATGGTGATGACCTCACCAAATCTGACCCCCAGATGAAGGAAGGGTCCATCGGGGTCATCGACCTCCATCACCTTCCCCTTCTCATAATGCTCCACTGTAAAGGTAGAAAGAGAAAGAGAGTTAATATTACAGAAAGGAACAGTGTCAAATTTGCCGATCAGCCACACCGGAGAGAGAGAGAGAGCACCTGTACGTTATACGATAGAGATAGTGTTGTCAGATTAGAGAAACGTGGACATAAAATGAAAATGTAAAAGAGTGATAATACAAAATATATAGAAATTTGAAAAAGCTGAATATGAACATTCATGGGTTTGCACGCGCCTGTGTGAAGTTATCTACCGTAATGAGGATCTGAGACATTACGGTAGATAACTTCACACAGGCGCACGCCCGCCCGCAACACAGCATCGGTATGTACTTGTATTGTGCAGCAGTTTGCCGTGAAACCTGTGAAAAAGTGTATACTAATATCAATGTTTATCCGAAAAATACTCCAAAAGTAACAAGAAAATTGACACGAAACAGGCAATAAACATAACAACTTTTAACTCATGATCTTTATTTGGACATTTAATGAATATTTACTTCATTTTGGGTATGTTTTAGTAATAGTAGGGTATCTCCACGCTCCTTGCTTCCTATTGACCTTGTACATGCGGCCGAAAACTGCCTCGCTATGCTGAAAATTACCTCTGAAACAGCGAACATGGCAATTCATGATCTTTTTCAGGAATTCTTTTTTTGATTAAATAAGAATAATATTGGCTTCATGATTGGAACAAAAAAATGATAATAGATAGGAAGTAAAGAGTCCCAAAATAGGATTTTGCCTTAAGTGGCCGAAAACTGCCTCCTCTAAGTCTAAGTCTAGATCTACGAGTAGGGTGTCTGATCGCGCACCCGATGTTGTGTGCTAAAATTCTTCCCATAGAGATTACACGCATCCCTATGCAGCCTACGTGCATTGCGCGACCATGCAAAAAAAGTCAATTTTTTTTTTTCAAATCGAGATTCAAACCTTTATCAGTTGTGATCCTGAAGGTGATAATCAATGAATGAGGTGTCATATGAAAGAGCAGGTGAATTCCAATATTTCCAAAGGGGCGTAGCCCCCGAAATTCTAAAAATATCTTGGTCAAAACAGCAATTTAAACATTGTGTCCTGGCTAACTCTGAGGTTTGTCACTTTTGAGATATGACGCCCCGATCGATAAGTAGTCCCAGTCCTAAGGAACAATTCTATGTGATTATATTTTCGCTAGCCCCCAGGGATCACAACTGATAACAGTTTAAAAATACCCTTCTCGCTATTTGGTGGATCAGCTAATTAGGGGGCGTGCGCTCCGCTCAGTCCAAACCATGGTTACATCGCGTAACATCTCCGCGCACGAACGAAACCCCAAATTCAATTACACATTATAGTGACTGAAATTATGGTTGGAAATTCCCTCGATAAACCCGGAAGTGAATACACGTTATAGTCAATGGCAATATCGCGGAGACAACGTGCGTTGTCTCCGCGATATTGCCATTGACTATAACGTGCATTCACTTCCGGGTTTATTGTGCGACGAACGCCAACCATACTAGTCAATCGCACATGTCGCGGAGACAGCGTAGCTCAAGCTGCAAGTCGCGGATTGGCTTAGCAGCATGCGTACGATATGCATACGCTTGCATAACGCGCGATACAGCTGTTTGGCTAAATTTAGCAAAACAACATCACTCTGCGTGGACGTCTTTTTCGACGATTTTGACCAAAATGATATGAATATACCAGCGTGTTGGAGGGGCTGTAACTTTTGATAGAAACATCGGTGAGACTTGAAATTTGAAATGTATCATTCTGATAACATTTTTTATTCAAATATCAAACAAAAATGGTGAAAAACGATCCCAAATTGAAATTTGAAAAATCGTTCAGACACCCTACTACGAGACTTCGGAGTTGTTTACGGCGCAACCCATTGAAAGAACATGGATTTAAACGAGTGGGGACGTATTGCTCTAAAGCCTAAGGGTGACTGAGGATAAGATTTATCAGATTTTAAGGTGAGTATTAGCAAACCTAAAACGTCAGCTGAAGCTACCTTTCCAAAAATTTGGGTTGTTTACTGCCTATTACCCCAAAAAACATCTGTTAGTACAAAAAGAAGGAAATAACTTACTTTTGCAGGAGCGTCTCTGCCTCGGCCTCTGGCGAGCAAGTTCAGGAACGTCGACAAAGGGGTAAAAAGAGAAAAGAAAAAAAGAAAATATCGCTCATTCTCTTTATAGATGCTTCCAACGAACTCAATCCACTTGGATTTCGATGGATGCTTCTCGCCCACAGAACTCGAAAATACTTATTTTAGAGTTCTGTGTTCTCGCCCCGCTTCTCGCTAGAAAATTATTATATTTGTCGTCTATTTTAAAATAATATTATCAATGAAATAAGTAATAACTCTCTAGTCTATATCCTAAAAGTATTGGAATTATCGGCACATGCCACATTGGCACTATACAATACATCCGTTCACTATAATATCCAAAAACTTTGGTCTACAAGTTTGTTATTCTTAGTTGATAACAATTAGTAATATAGAAGGAGCAAGACTTCCGGCTTTCTGGTGGTATAGGTCACTTGCCGGAGGAAGATGTCTGGAGGGACTTATACTAGTATTCTGAAAATGCTCGGTTATTCCGTACAACAGCTTTATATCAGCCCGTACGTTCAAGAAAATTTAAAATGAGATGCCTAACTTTCAAGGCGCCTAAATCTTTGGCCGACTTTTTTTAAAATTCTTAGCTGATTACATATTCTTATATAGAAGAGATTTTTTTTTAGCTTTCTGGTGGTATAGGTCACCTGCCGGAGGAAGATGTCTGGACCTTACTGTTTAAATTTAATATCGGCTCTGTATTCTGAAAATGTTCGATCTTTACGAACAATAGCTTCATATCCCGTTCAGGCAAATTCAAAATGAGGTGCCTAACTCTTATGGCGCCATCATCTTTTGCCAACATTTGCTCTTATTAACTGATAACGTATTCAAATAGAGGAAACTTTCAGCTTTCTGGTGGTATAGGTCACCTGCCGAGGAAGATGTCTTGACCTTACAGTAACTGTTTAACTTTAATATCGGCTCTGTATTCTGAAAATGTTCGTTATTCCGCACAACAGCTTCAAATCCCGTTCAAGAAAATTTAAAACGAGGTGCCTAACTGTCAAGGCGCCTAAATCTTTGGCCGATTTTTAAAAAAATTCTTTGCTGATTACATATTCTAATAGAAGAGACTTCCAGCTTTCGGGTGGTATATGTCATCTGTCGGAGGAAGATGTCTGGACCTTAGGCTTGCAGCTACCTGGCTACGCCAATCGTCAGGTAGCTGCGCACGCGTCCACAGGCTCCCCCTAAAAAGGGCCCTTTTGAGGATTGACCACTCCCAAGACTCCCCGATATTTTTTTTTCTACACTGCTCCCCCCTGCAATTGGTCCCCTTTTCTTATTTTTTCTTTTTTTGTGAGGAATCCATTGACGTGTTGTGCTTTGGAAGGGCCCTAGACAAACAACAATAACAACAACAACAGCAGCAATAATGATTTCATAACTCCAACATTTGAAAAATTGAATATTTTTTAATAACTTGCGTTACCGGCAATATATTGGAATTAATTGTAAATATATGGATTGAGATTCTTAGACTTTATTTGATTAATGGTGTATATTGGATTCTCTTTCCTAGTTCTTTCTCTTTCTCTGTCTCCGTCTTTCTTTTTTTCTCTCTCTCTCTTTATATATATATATCTCTCTCTCTCATTGTGGACTGAGAAAAAAACTGTCGGGGATCGAGCCTTGGAAATGGTCATTCATCAAAAGGGCCCCTTTTTTTTGGGGGGGGGGGGGAGCCTGTCGACTGGCGCAGCTAGCTGACGATTAATGGGGGTGTATCGGATTCTCTTCCCTTGTTCTTTCTGGCTCTCTCTCTCTCTCTCTTTGAAATTTGCGGGGGGAGCAGTGTAGAACAAAACTACAGGGGGTCCAGTTATGCTCGAGAAGAACATTAGGAATGAATTTTATTCAAAGTGATTAGTGTCTATTTTTTAAAAGAGGAATTTGCATATGTGCGGAATTAGAAATGGGGCTATAACTTTGAGGGGTGTCCTTATGAGCGTCATTCTTCTGAAATATGATACGACTGGGGAATGCGCAAGCCTGTCCATAACAAAACATAGTAGGCTATGATAGGTTTTGATAGGTTTAAGTATTGTCCCTATCCTTCGGAACAAATTACCAGCGCATATTCATAAGACTAGACAATACCTTGACCTGTCTAAGACCTTGCTGAAAACGCACTTTTTTAATTCATGAATGATTTTCTAAACGGGCTCAGTTGCGAGTCGGTCAAAGAAGGTGCACACCGTCTTATTCCTTATATGTTTGATTTTATGTTTGATTTCATTTTTTTTCTTATCTAATGCATGATTTATTGAAAAAAGAACAGATTTATAGTTCGTGTGTTCATTTTAAGTTTTGGTTGGAAATTTGTAGACAGACAATGCTGCGCTTAGAAACAACCGTATTTAAGTGCCTAATAAATGTTGTGTATTATCATTATTATTATTATTATTATTATTATGAATTGTTCGGTTTAAATCCCAGCTCAGCATGCATTGTTGAGAGATATTAAAATGTCATGTCCTAATAATTTAGTCCGATCCATCATCTGTTGGAAATATATACGTACTATGAGATTTGCTTTGTTTTTTTTAAATAGAGAAGTATATTGCCCTTGACATAACATCAAAATATTAGAACACCATGAAGAAAAAAAAGGTGAAATCAATCTTCCGAATATTCAAACAAATCTTAAAAAGCAAAGTATATGAAAGTATCCCTAATATTATAGGACTTTTCTGTACGTCGTGTCATACCACATTTTTCGTCTTCCTTTCTTTCTCATCTCTTTCCTTGCCTATGTCTCTTGCATGTTTGTCTCCCCCTCTTTATCTTTACAAGTTTCTCCCCTCGAAATCTCCTCTCTCTCTCTCTCTCTCTCTCTCTCTCTCTGTATCAATTTGCTCTCCCCTTCTTACTTTCCTCATCTCTGTATATACCATAACCCATTTCATCTCTTCCTCTCGTATTTCTTCAATTTTTTCTGATCTTTTTCCTTCTTCAAATTTCTTCTCCCAATCTATCTAGGTCTCTTACTCTCCTCTATCTTCTCTCCAATTATCTTTCTGCCATCTCTACCCGTTTTCATATTTTCACAACTTATACCTCTATATTATCCATAAAAGTATCCTGCGTGGTTATTCAAATCATATCTAATCTAACTTTTCACTTTCCTTATTCTGAAAGTTCATCAATCCTCTCTCTTTACCACCCAAATTATTACTCTAAGGACTCGTTCGACTGATATATTCCAGCTACATCAGTGTAAAGAACACTTAAACACACACAGCCATTCCACACATAATAAAAAGAAACATATTTGTAATGTATTTATTCATTTTTATTCATATTTTACTATTCATGTGTATAAAACGTTATTTATAAGTATACATAATATAAAGCATCAAGTCCAGTCATCAAATAAAATATACTCCTTTATTAAACTCTACAACAAATATCAAATTTGTTCTACGTTTAATAATCAACGTCTATTCAAATCAAACAAAAATATAGACAATCATAATCACAATAATATTTGTTTATGGAAAATCCATCTTTTATCGTTTCTCGTCATTTGTTTGACCAATGATAAAGTATTCATCCATCTGTACAAATAAATGTCATTTCAAGAGTTGACCTCATATACGATTCTCATTTCTGAAGGTGCAAAAGTAGTGCAAAAATGCAATTTCTATGCATTATTCTTAACAAAAGCATTTCTCTGTGAACATGCAGAATTAAACTTATACATTACCAAAAATATAAGTCCACAATGTCACAACATGTGATATAAAAGTATCAGTGATCCTCCTTTTGATAACAAAACATAAATACGTATGATCTAATTTTTCATCAGTTTATAAATAATTAAGTTTGCCGTTAATATTGATCACTTCTTAACATTCTTTCCCGGTAGAATATTGTTCATGGAATTCATATCTCCCCTAGATAATAATTCACTCTCAAAACATCCTACTAAAAGTCTACAATTTTGAAGGACGTTATTCATATCCTTATAAGTGAGTTGACCATAAAAATATGACCCCTCCTCCTCCCCCCGCCAAAAAAGGCACAAGAAAAGACTGACTTAATTTTGCATCATCTCACATTAGTAAAGCATTAATCGTTTTGTGCTTGGAAAAACTGTATGAATGGATAATACATTACGAGGGACAAAGTATTCTATTTTTTAAACATTCTTTCTCTACATATGCAATACACGTCAGTCTGAATATTTTCTGAAACATTTAGAGCGGATTATTACTTAAGCAATCAAAACTAAATAGCTTGGAAATTTGACAAAATATATTAAGTTTGTACCATTCTGCTCATCACATCTATTATCTGCCTTTGAAGTCCGACATAGTCAGTCCTACTACTATTCTACATTTTGGATACAACTACTGATATTATTCTTAAAGGGAAACATCAAAGCAGTTGTATGTGAGATTGACAATAGACTGTGATTTGATATATAGTTTTAATTTTATAATTCATGCATTATTTCTCACTTCAACGAGTTTAAACATTTAAAGCAGTGCATTTCATCATCAACATATATCCCGAAATGAATCTGTGTGATTGTGTATAAAGGACATGTAATACTTGGGGTTTCTGATCATGTAATCCCCATTTTTCTTCTTAAAGTTCCACATACTTAGCAAAATTAAATATGAGTACCATCAACAAGGAAAAAGTAATAAGCTTCAAACAAACTTTAACTTTTACCCATTCTTTTTATCTTTTGCAACATATATTTATTCATTAGGAAACACAAAAATGTCATACATCTATTTAAGAATATACAAGAAATATACATGCCATAAGGAATTCTCTGTCACAAATATAAGTTAGTTTTCTCTGAAATATTTATATAATTATACACCATCCTCCCCTGATCAGTAAATTCTAATTACATTGTTGTCTATTATATGTAAAAGATATCATTTGTTTACAAGACAGAGCTGGGAATGAAAGAGTTGCTTTATTGGAGAGTAAAATAAAGTACCAGTACAAAAAACAAATTTGTGCATGAGCTAGGATCAACTAACATGTGGAAGGTCAATAATACTACAAATTTGGCCTCACTTCAATGGTGAAACAATATTGATAACATTTTTAATATACAGGCATACAACTTCTCCCTGTTTTCCTGAAAAAAACATAAGTAAAGAAACATGATTCATAAAATCAAAAGAAGAGAACACAACTATGTACAGATCTTATATAGTTAGAAATATTTGTATTTCTTGAGTTGACATTAATGTGAAATAATATATGAATATACCAGTAAGCATAAAATGGAGAAGCTGAAAAGCAAGTCTACACTTTAATGATACAGGGTTTTTTGTCAGCCATTTTGAGTTAAAACGTTTCTTTAAAAAGTGATGCACACTTATTTGTCAAACCCCCTTTCTTATGTAGGATACGGTCCAACCTGTCTTAGTGAAAATCTCTCTATGAAGACCACCTGTCTATAGTGGTCATTATATGGTCTCCTTGAAGAAATATATGTCATAAAATATGTCTAGGAAGGTTGAAGGGCCTGAATAGACTGGTCTGACTTTCTTTGGTATTAACCAAGATATTATTTCAATGCAGCATCTTATACCATTTCTCAGTTTTTTTCTAGCACCACAACGGGAAAATGAGTTGTCAAAAGTATTAAAAAAAAGAGAAGAAGAAGAAGATTTGTTTAAATATAAGGGAGACCTAGAATTTAACTACAATATACATATTCATAATGTTATATCCTTTTTGGCATTGATTGTTAAAAAATAGCACTGTGTACAGTAATATGTATTATCAAGATTGTAGCATGAAGCATCACTTAATAGGTCAAAGGTGAAAATGAAAGCTAAGTTTTTATGTCAGTGTCAATTTTCCTATGCCATTAATGAGCCATCTGATACATTTCCACCAAGTAATATTTAGAATGTTATAAAGTTGGATAATTTAAAGAGCAAAAGCAATAAAGTGTGACCCAACAGATATATTTCCACAAATCTACTTTATTACATCAACATGTAAAACACTCTATAATTTTTAATCAAGTTTGGTTATTCTAGGCAGATATAGCAGTCATGTCTTAACATCATGCAGCAACAGAGGCTCTTACAGAGCTTTACTTTACTCCCCTTTTCAAGCATATTTGGATCTTTTTTTCCTTCTTAAAAAGAAAACGTTACTATAATAGTTCATTTTAGAAGCTACACAAATCATCAACCTGGCAAAATTTACTACAGTCTATGGCAAATGCATGATATACCAAAATCAAACCATATTCAATGACACTGTGCATAGTTATATATCAAGTCTTCCAACTTTTTTTGTTTTCCTTTGTGTAACACGTATCTTGGTAATGCATTTAAATTATCTTATTTTTAGGACCATCATATACATGAACATGGTCACTGGAAAGATCAACTTCCATAGATGTACTTTAACAGACGGTATGTAAAAAATATCACATGATATTGGTGCCCTATGACATATTATTTATGACCAATTAGGAATAAAATTGACTCAGAATAAAAATAATGCAAAATTCATATATTTCAAAAGAGAACAAAATGGAAGAAGATACAAAATAGAAAGACAAAAAGATTTCAAAACTATACAAGAGAAACTTGAGGGAGAGGCCTGAATTATGAATCCTCCAGCTGCTGTCTTTTCTTGACGATCTCGTTGATGTATGCCTTCATCAGTTTAGCGATCTCAAATACCTGGAAAAAGGAGAGGAAAATAAAATTACAAGATAGCTCAGGGAAAGAACTCCAACAAGATATAGCATGACAAAAGAAAAAGAGAAATTATTCATGAGACGCGAGGCAAAGAAGGAATGATAACAAAAATAAAGTATAATGACAAAGAGATCTTTTTCATTCTCCTACAGTTTTTCTATTTTAATACAGTATATCTCATGCTTCATGATATAATTTATATGATTTTTAAAATTTCAAAATATGTTTATTTTTTCATTATTTATAATGCAAAAAAAGAAAGAACATACTGGTGAGAGGGGGAAAGAAGGAGAATAACAAAGTATAAAATACCATATATTAAAGGAAAAAGAACAAAAATAAAATGAGGCAGATGAACAAAAAAGATGAGAGGAAGGGATGATTGAGAAAGTGTGATGAACAAGAACACAAGAAGAAATCAATGAATCAGATGGATAGGAGAAAGAAGAACAAATACAAAACAACAACATCTATTTGAATTAATAGAATGAGAAGTATAAGAAGGGAGAAAGGAGAATATCAAAAAGGGGAAGCTCATGTACCTGGGTGGTTTCAAACGTTAGTTCATCCCTCCTTCCTTCTACCACAATCTTGTACTCATTCAGGATTGGTGCACCAAACGAGAGAATCCTGTCAGAGAGAAAGAAAGAATAATGAACAAGATGAACAAGATGTATTCTTCTGTATCTCACTCTGAATACCTGGATGCTGACAACTGCTCTCCAGTCCACTTCGTTTTTTTATCACATCAACCCCAGACCTGGGCCCCGTTTCACAAAATATACCATTGATGGTAACTACCATGGAAACCTCTATTTTGATTGGCTGTTGAGCCCTGTTACCATGGTAGTTACCATTGATGGCAAAGTTACCATTAATGGTAAGTTTTGTGCAACAGGGCCCAGTACATAAAAATCTTTCCCTTTCATATATCTCTAATCCTAACCCTCAATATAGCCTTATCCTTATCCTAACTCTATATCTTTGATAAAATCATTCATGTTTGAAGTTAGCTGACTACTTCAAAGAATAGCATATGCTTGAAGATACCTGAAGGCAACCAGTTGAATAACATCATAAAATTTAAAAAAATAGCAAATCAGGATTGATGCTTTTACCCAAAGTACTAGCCCATTCACTTGGATTCCAGACCCATGCTAGATGACAGCTCAAGTAATAATCAAGCTTCCTTTAAAGCCCCACTGCAGTACTTATATCAACTTCCTCCCTCTTTATAGCAAACAAGGCCTAATCGGTGACCATTGGTCCCCATGATCCTCTTTTTCTTATGTTAATTGAGAGCTGATTTGATGAGTTATCCACCTGTCAGTGACCATGTAGGGTGGTCTAATCTCTCCTGGCCAAACTAGTGCAGTGGGGCTTTAACAAAGACTGACAAGAACATAAGAATGACTCACTTTTCATATGGGATCTCTTCGATGGGACTAGCCATGCCCTGTTTGTGTATAGCGACCATGTCGACCCCGACGGCCAGCCAGAGACCAGAAGGGTAGCGTGTGTCTCTGCACTCCACCTCAAAGAGACGTGCTCCGTAGTACTGCCATTGTCTGATGATGTTCATGAATGCTTCCTGCGCCTGATCAGGACTTAAGTGCTGAATGAGGACAGGAAATAACAAAGAAGTTTAAAGTAAGGCCTAAACAAAGAAAGATGTTGTATTGCCCTTTGCGACCGATCCTAAAATATTGAAATCTGCGGTCGTTTTTTTTTAAACTGCTTTTTAGAATGTATTAAAGCATTAAACACTGAAAAATATCAGCCCAAAGAGGGGAGTAAAAAATAAAAAAGAAGTAAAAAAAAAAAGAAGAGATTTCCGACCGACCGACTGACCCATGATTTGGCATCCAAAGGGCAATACAACATCTTCTTTTTTTTTTAGGCCTTACAGAGGATTAATTTACAAAAATAGCTTTAGCTTTGGGGTTTATGCTGGTGTCCAACATGTATATTCAATCACATGTATCAGCTTGAAACCAAAATCCAATTGGAATCATAAAAACTTCAAATTTTCAACCATTTTAAAGTAATTTAGGTCATCCCTGATGCTGAAGTCGTAGGTATACATCCACTGGTGATAACTAAAGTTCCCTCTAGGTCTGCATTATCTATGCTAACTATGGATGAAATATCACCTTAGGATGTTATGTAAAGGGCTATTTCAACTTTGCACACTGGAAATGAATTCAATAAAATAACACTAGTCAACGAACCAGTTAAATCATGAAAAATTGAATTTTGATAAACTATTTATATCAAAATCAATAATTATGAAATACAATATTCAGAAAATACAGTAGTATCAATTCTTCAAAATTCATAAAAGTTTTTGGGAAATGTCATGCACGCAATATGAAACAAATCATATAACCTGGGCAAAGGTATGGGGAAATCAAGTTTTGGGGGGATAAAAAGGGAAATTAATGGGATTAAACTATATAAAGCAGTTGATAAGTTGTGAGGACATGACTTCACAAATTGATAACCATCTTGGCAATTTGTGTTGTGATTCTCATTGTTCCATACTTTTTCAAAAATTCATAACTTTCTTATTCGTTATCCGATTTTGCTCAAACCTTTTTTGATTGGTTTGTCTGATTTTTCTGCTTTTATTGAAAGTAAGTTATTTTTCGAGTGGACTTGTCCTTTAATGCCTCATAAAATGTGTGTGATAATGTTATGTGTATAAGGTGCATAATTTGTTAATTTTTTTAATTTAAAAAATATATATATATATACTTATATTCCACATACTAAGAATCTTGCTCTATGATTGGTCAAAAGTAAATCACGTGATGAAAGAAAGTTCGCCCATTATTGATGGGAGAAGCAAAAAGTTTGTTACACTGTGTAGATAGTACTACTATCTACACAGTGCAACGCACTTTCACTGAAGATAGAGGTACTATCTACACAGGGCAACGCACTTTCACTGAAGATTATCCAAAAGCGCACTAAAACAGGCGTAACTAATTCCTTTGTATTCTTACCTTCAACGTCTTCCATTTCTCAATGACTGCTGAAGTTGTGGCCGAGATGTCGTCAGCATACACGCTGTCCAATATTGACTCATCTGATGCTGTGGTTGGATGAAAAAGATAATAATATTAATAATATTCAGCTTTTATATAGCGCTTAATACATCTCGGACGTCTCTAAGTGCTTACAGATACATATTACCCGGGTTATTGGATTCAGTGCTTGCCCACACACACTGTGTGCACAATCTCCACTCCCTGGGGAGCATTTCAAAATTTTCAGCTACCCCAAAAAATTTAAGTTTGGGAAAGTGTCATGGTGTAAAATTCTGGATAAATTGTACTGACTTGTTATGCATTCTGACACTAACAATTGAGCACATCTTATTATGGAGCTTGAATTCTTGTAATTCACTTCAGCAATTTTCAAGTACAGCATTACAATCTTGAATGTATATAAGCACCACAGAAGGTACTTCCTTATTTATTCACTTATTTTGAAAAGGAATATTGCAATGGAGCCCTGTGGATCTTTCAGAAAGTCATTACTGAATTTTATAATTTTCTAATGACAAAAAGTCTTGCATACGGTTTGCAGCAATAACAGAGCAACAATGGCTGGTTACGATTAAATCAATAGTTTACCAAACTACAAAGCATGTCTTGATTTTCATACACCTTTTTACGACAATATTATTGATGAATTTGTCATATTAAGTAATGATTATCATTGATTTCAAATGAGATGGTTTGAGATGTGTTTTTAATCGTCACAAAAAATAAAGAGAGGCATGCAAAAACCTTGTTTCATTTGTTGGAATCATAAAGCGTACTGAGATTAAATGTAGTATGACAGGGTTTATATGCTAAATTGACTATCTGCTTTTACTTTTCTTGCAATTTTCTTTTAATCTGTAATGTTTATTAAAGCAGCTACAATAAACAGAAAACACTGCAATAACTCTATATTATCGTATGGACACAAAGGGAAAATAGCTCTTGATCCTTTTTCCCAGACAAGCATTATCAACACTATTAAAGACTACACATTCTATATCTACAAGTGGTTCTTTTTTCAACTTGACTATCTACATGTTCTTGTATTTTACCTACTTCTTATCTAAAATGAAATGAATGCACATCAAGTCACCCGCAGGTTCAGCTAAACTACATGTGACGCATCTATCTACCTTTTGGCTACTGAGGGAGTAGGAATGTCATATTTGATCAGCATTTAAAGTGATCAAGTATTGTTTGGGAGCAATTACAACAACTTTATCCCATTGCGACTCTAAGTTTGAGATATAGATACTAAAGTATCGCTAATCTAAGGTGTAAAGTTTATCTATATATAAATAATAATATTTATAATAATATTTGCATTTATATAGCGCTCATTACAGTAAATGTATCACAGCGCTTTACATATCATATACATATATAAGAATATCAATAACAAAATAACTTATGAACTGATTACATTTCCTGATTACGCATAAAAAAAAAAAAAAAAAAAAAAAAAAAAAAAAAAAAAAAAAAAAAAAAAAAAAAAAAAAAAAAAAAAAAAAAAAAAAAAAAAAAAAAAAAAAAAAAAAAATAAATAAATAAATAAATAAATAAATAAAAAAAAAATTGTCTTACAAAATAACTTATAAACTACATGTAATATTACAGGTACAGATTAAGTATTAAATAGAAATGTCTTAAGGGACTTCTGGAACTGAGAAAGGGATGACGACGTCCGTACGTTCTGGGGGAGGTTGTTCCATAGGCGTGGTGCAGCAGAAGAGAAGGATTTGTCACCTGTACATGTATTGGTCCTTGGAACTGCGAGTAGTGCTGGGTCATTGCTTGATCGGAGCCCTGGTCTTGCTGTTTGATGCTTACGTAAGAGTTTCGTGAGGTAGTTGGGAGCAGAATTATTAAGACATTTGTATGTAATAGTCAGAATTTTGTATGTTATGCGCTTTTCAACGGGGAGCCAATGAAGTTGTTGTAGGAAAGGTGTTACATGGTCGTACTTCTTGGCCCGAAAAACCAACTTTGCAGCACGGTTCTGAGCTCGCTGAAGACGCTTCACATTTAATGCAGAAGTGCCACAGAGAAGGGAGTTTGCGTAGTCGATCCTAGACGAGACGAGCGCTCTCACAGCATGCTCACATGCAGACTGGTCCAGGAAGGGCCTGATGCGTGCTATGTTGGACAAATGAAAGTGAAGCGAACTGGATAGAGATGACACGTGGCGATTCAACTTCAGATTAGCGTCAATCTCAACACCCAAACTTCGGATAGAGGTTGAAGGCTCGATAACTGTACCACCAATGGTCAGAACAATCCCTGATATGAGATGTCGATAGCGTGGACTAGCAACAATAAGGAAATCCGTTTTTTCAGAGTTCAGTTTCAACATGTTGCTCTTCATCCATTGTTGCAGATTGATGATACACGCAGATAATGACTCAAGAGCAGCTGTCATTGCATGCCTGTCCTTTGGATCGACAGAGATGTACAGTTGCACGTCATCTGCATAGATGTGGTGTTGTATCCCTGCATGATGCTTGATGATATCAGCTACAGGATGAGTGTATAAACTGAAAAGTTGAGGACCAACCACTGAGCCTTGTGGAACTCCGAATCTCAGAGGTTTTTGTTCTGATAGCTCATTCACAACCTTCATCCTGAAGCTTCTGTCTGACAGGTACGAGTCAAACCACGATCTCACCATTCCTGAGATGCCAAAAAGCTTGTCCATACGCTGTAGAAGTATTGTGTGGTCAACACAGTCAAACGCAGCAGACAGGTCCAGGAATACGACAAAGGTAACCAACCTGTTGTCCAATGCTCCCAGAATGTCATTTTGTACTTTTAGAAGAGCAGTCTCTGTACTGTGCCAACGGCGGTAAGCTGACTGGTTCTCAACGTTCAAATCATGTTCGTCCATGTGGTCCGAGAGTTGAGACAATGCAGCCTTTTCAATGATTTTTGATAGAAAAGGGACGTTTGAGACAGGCCTGTAGTTCTTCAGATCTTCCCTATCAAGATTGCTCTTCTTGATCAGTGGAACTACCACAGCTTCCTTCAGTGCTGAGGGGAAGACACCGCTACTCAATGATGTGTGTACAATTGATGCAATATATGGAAGAAAAGTGTTAATGTTCTCTTTCAAAAGCCACGTTGGTAGTGCATCTAGCGAGCATGTCTTATTTGGTGAAGAACGTATTAATTTGCAGACCGTCTCAAGAGTCACAGTGTCGAAATCTGACAGTTCGGTGATAGGAACAGAGGCATCCGTGATCATCCCATCATCATTACAGGTGTCCGTAACTCCTGCATTACCTGTCATAAGACTTGCTCTAATCTTCTCTACCTTCTGTTCAAAGAAAGTAGCAAACCTCTCTGGTAGTGATGTAGTAGAGCTATCAACCGGTAGAGCCATCGGTGACCTGTTCAAAAGCGTATTCAGAACATGGAACACATTCTTTACGTCTGCACTGCTTAACTGTTCTGTATAGTACTTTGATTTCTCTCTTTCAATGAGCTTGCAGACCGCATGAACCTGGGAGAGATATTGCTGGCGGCTCTCGACTGTATGCGACTTTCTCCAGCGCCTTTCAACTTTACGCCGAAGACGTCTTGCCTGATGAATTTCATCTGTATACCACGGAGGACGAGAGCGAAAACGATGGACACGCTTAGTCGCAGGGCAATGCTGGTCAAGTACTTCCAAAACAGTTTCATTGTAAAAGGTCACCTGGTCATCAACATTCCCATCAAAAGGAAAGTTGTGAAAAGCCTCAGTTATGCTGGCGATGAAGGAATCCTTGTCTAGATCACGAAAGTTTCGACATAAAGATGTTGCCGGACACTGTCTAGGCCTGGCCACATCAATAATGCAGCTAAGGACATAGTGATCTGAATACAGCTTATCAACGGCTTCACAGTCCACCACAAGTGGATCATCTATCCTCGATATTATGAGGTCAAGTGTGTGACCCAGCTTGTGCGTAGGAGTGGTGATGTGTTGCTGAAGTCCGGCCTCCTCTATGATTTCAATGAAACATGCCGCATCAGGTTTGTCAGGTGTATCTATGTGTACATTGAAGTCACCGACAATAAGAAGCTTCCAAGTATGTGAAGTCAGCTCATTTACCAGTTCTTCAAACTCCAGAAGAAAATCCTGAGTTTTGAGACGATTCCTTGCTGAGGGTGGAGGTCTGTAGATGGCCACGTAGCATACTGACCTTGATGGATCTGTGACAGCAGCAAGTTCATAAGTGTCACGGGGAGATAAGATGTTAACAGTTGACAGCTTCAATGTTGTTTTGTAGATTACTGCAATTCCCCCATGAGCATCGTTCCTGCCTCGTGCCACATTCAAGAACGTAAAACCTGCCGGTGTGCACTCGTTGATTACAACAGGATCTTCAGCTCTCAACCATGTTTCAGTTAGGAACATGATATCAACATTATTATCAATGATGTGGTCAAACAAAAGACTGGTCTTGTTCCTAACAGAATTGCAATTCCATAAATGAACATTTAGATTACCACTCAGGTCATGTGGCACAGTCAAAATGTCTCTCGGATTCCTCAAACTGTCAATCGGCTTCTCATGCATTCCGTGATTCATTTCGTGATTTGTCCGTGATGGAGCAAGAACTGGTATGCGACGTTGATCTTTCACGAAGGCTCGACGTCCACGTCTAGTTGGTTTTACACTGCATATATCATATTGTTGTAGTTTGTGGTACACATCAAAAGCTACTGGGCAGTGCCCACAAGATGCCCCAATAGACAAAAGGTCCTCTCTCGAGTAGGAAAGATTAGGCATTGTTGCAAGGAAGTACCAAAGTACAAGAACAATACTAATCCTCACCACGCAGGCCATTGCTGTTCATTCGTGTCCATATGTGCATTCAAGTAGATACAACATAATAGTTCACTGAAGAGACAATGCACTGTACTCCTGCCATGTTAGAGCCAAGTAGAAATTGACAGAAAATCCATAAAGTTATCTTTAATAGTATCAACTAAAAATGACGATATACGAACTTCAAACTTGTCTTGTGGGTCCTACATAACTTCACAAATAGACTGGCATAGAAAAAAAGAGCAGCAGAATGCGTTAATTCAAGCAATTCAAACAAAAACTGGAGAGCTCTTAAGCGGTGCAACCTGTGGCGCAACCTGACATGAGTTGAGGGGAAAAAAATAGGCTAAGAATTTGCATCGAAGGGACCAACTAATTGGGGCTCTAAAACCTGTTCTATTCGTTTATTTTTACAGAGGATGTGGAAAACATTCTACACTACTAAAATGATGAAATGAGGGATAAAAACACCGCAAACTTTCATGCAAGTTAATGATTAAAGTTGAAAATGGAAAAAAATTCTCTCTTTTTTTAATGATGGTTTACTAGCTGCTTATTTTCTTCGTTATCAACAGGACTTAAAGAATCAATCCCATCAAAATGGATAAGTCTCATATGAATGAAATAAATGTAGTTTTTTGGATACTAAAAATGATACAAAATGTATCATTCACAATTAATTTACTAAAACTACATGTAGTACGTGTGGAAAACACTCTAAACTATTGATATAATGAATGAGGGATGAAAACACCACAAACTTTCATGCAAGTTAATGATAAAAGTTGAAAATGGGCTGTTGGAATAAAATAAAGGGCTACACTTACTTGTTATACATCAATCATCAATTGGTTGTTGGTTGTTATAAAATAAGATATAAACAGGAGTGTAATATTATATAAATAATACATGCTTTATATAGAAGGAAAGTTGAAATTAGATCATGGAGTCTAAGTTATATGACATTTCAGTGTAATATATAAAATATACATCGTATTTAAATGTATGGAAAGGAATTGTGAGTATACACAATATATATATGGCACACAGCCTATACATTGATTAATTGTATCTTATTTCCTTGATTATAGCACAGACTTTGAATGTTGACTTTTGTGAGACACTTGTTAGAGAAAGAGTCATGAGCACCCTGGCAGAGGCACATGCTGGCAGTAAACAAGAAGCCATTATCATAATGATCATCAACATCATCACCATCCTCTTCCTCATCAATATTATCATCATCACCACCATCTTCATCATCATCACAATCATCTTCATTATCGTCTTCATCATCAATATCATCATCATCACAATCATCATCATCGTCTTCATCATCAATATTATCATTATCACCACCATCATCATCATCATCACAATCATCATCATCATCATCTTCATCATCAATATCATCATCATCACAATCATCATCATCGTCTTCATCATCAATATTATCATCATCACCACCATCTTCATCATCATCACAATCATCTTCATCATCGTCTTCATCATCAATATCATCATCATCACAATCATCATCATCAACTTCATCATCAATATCATCATTATCACCACCATCATCATCATCATCACAATCATCATCATCATCATCTTCATCATCAATATCCTCATTATCCCCACTATCTTCATCATCGTCTTCATCATCAATATTATCATTATCACCACCATCATCATCATCATCACAATCATCATCATCATCATCTTCATCATCAATATCATCATTATCACCACCATCATCATCATCATCACAATCATCATCATCATCATCTTCATCATCAATATCATCATTATCACCACCATCATCATCATCATCATCACAATCATCATCATCATCATCTTCATCATCAATATCATCATTATCACCACCATCTTCTTCATCATCAATATTATCATTATCACCACCATCTTCATCATCATCACAATCATCATCATCATCGTCTTCATCATCAATATTATCATTATCACCACCATCTTCATCATCATCAATCTCATCCTCATCACCATACGTCTTCTACAGTTACATGTATACACTGGTTATTTGTGCCATTTAATAACTGTACCATCCTTTTTACTATTCATAGAATTAAGAATTATTGTGATTAGTAAAAGTGTTTATGTATGGAATCATTTTACATAGACATTCTATCAGTGTATTATTTAGATATTGTTTAGATATACACATCTGTTATCACAGATAAGATGACATTCTATAAAATATTAATATGGATGTACAGGTAGCATAATTTCATGTAAATGGGAGTTATAATCTAAATCTTTGGAATACGGTAGTATAAATCAACTGATGTAATAACTGTGTATTACTACATGTAATGAAGATATCAAATACATGTATAATCAGGCAATGTATATAAGTATATTACTATGGTAATAAAATTACTATGTATGTATTCATGTGAAAAAAAAATGAAACATTTGACTAGACAACATACCTGACTTTTGCAGTCTCTTGAGTGTCTTCTCCCCCAAGCCCCTCAACGTTCCCTGAAAAAATATAAACAGAATTTTCAAAAAAAGGTAATAAAAAGTAATGCATTAACTAGAGCAGTATTTTCATGTGCTTTATTAAGCCTTCTTCCCACAAAACCTATCTCAAAAAAGATAAAACCCTCTCCCCCCGAAAAAAAAACCTCTACCAAAACATAAAATTACACCAGTGTAATGCACTCCTAATTTCTGAATCCAATTACACACTACAGGTATGCTTTGCTACTACTTTTTAAAAACACCTTTTCTTGCCTGTCATGGTCTAAATTTTGCTGATGCAGTTTTTTTTACATGGTTTACCAGTATCTATGAAGGGGGCTTCACCCAAATGTTTCTTTACCATTGCATGTTGAAAATGTACTCAACTATCCTCCAATCATTAAATCAGGATTCCCATTCCTAATTTACATATATGTCTTTGTGCACGTAAAAGGGCACAAGAACCCAAATCCGTCTTGGGTTTCGTGCACATGGTTTTTATACATCTTTTGATTTTGTTATACCCATCAGCGATTTAATCAGCAGAGTACCCCTGAGAAAAATCAATAAATAATTTTATACAGACTGGCTGTGAAAAACTCTCTGAGATGATTGGTGCCCGTAAATAAATAATTTTCTCTTGTCATTCATGCTTGTACAGCGCATAGAGAAACTTTGATTATTATACGCTCTACAAATATATTATATTATTATTATGATTCAAGTTTCCAATAAAAATCTTCCTACCGAGATGACACCTTCTTTCCTAGATCTTGATAGTGACGGGAAACCAGCAAAGTCATTCTCTTCTTTCTTGTTAGCATTCTTAAACCTCTCCACTGGGTACACCATAGATAGGTCTCGACTGAAAGAGAAAAGGCAGGGATAAGAGAGAGGATGAGAAAGAGAGAGAGAGAGAGAGAGGATGAGTGAGTGAAAGAGAGAGAGAGAGAGAGAGAGATGAAAAGAGAGTCATTTTCAATTAAATTTCAATTCAATTCATTCTTCTTTATTGATACAAATATATATATACAATTTTTTTTTTAAAGGCCGTTTTTTGGTTTTTCACATTATATATTATACAAATAATGAATGGTTATACAACATCGAAGAAGATCTATAACGTTAATCAATAAATTATGCTTTACTCCTTATATTAAAGATAAGCCTTCTTGATTACATTCAGATACGCGCACGGCAGAGAGGTATACGCAGTCTGCATATAACCAAAAATGCACGACCGTGCAATATAACATCTATTGAATATCATGTGACCAACAATCCTCCAATCAAATGACAAGGATCCATGTAGGTGTTGTATAAATATATATATACATACATCAAAACATTAAGAATAGAATACATGATTGTTTTCTGAAGACTAATGATATCATCTTTATAATATAAAATGGATCACATGATAAAATAAATGTCAACATTAAACATCAAAGTCATAAATAAAAAGTAGTTGCAAGGACCATTCCTATCATCAACATCAAGAGCTACATATAAATGACACAGGTTGTATATGTATACATGTGAATCTGCATATTTATAATGCTCGAATATCCATCCAAAGTAAGTGCTTACAAGATAACTGTTACCCTGGCTTAAGCTTGGCTGCCAAAGTCTTGAAACCATTCAAGAACTTTATGTCTACTGGGCTCATTTACTTTTGGGAGTGGAAAATATTGATTAATATCTTGCCGAATGGCATGGGTTCAGTGATTGAGAATTGAACCATGCACCATTAAATCTATAGTCAAGTCACCAACAAGAGGTATACCGCCACACCTCTGTCACATCGTGTATCACGTATCTAACCATATTAATCATATTTGTAATAACAGAAATTTAATGTAGACTTACATCCAATCTCCTTCCAAGTAATCCCCTTTCAAAGACTCCATCCTTAGGGCAGCGAGATGGACTAGTTTATCATGAGATGCTGGGAACAGATTACGAAGAACATCTTCCACCGACTGTCATGATAAAAATGGTTTGAGAGTTAAGGGCAGAGTTCTTATTAAAACAAAACTTGTTAATTGAAGACCACTATCAAAGGATACCTTACCCCAAGAAATAACTTAATTATTATGAGAGATTCATTGTATTCTTGCCTATCAATGTACAAGATTCCCCCATCAAAGTGTATTAGAGAGGCATAAAGCATGAATAGTGTGTACAGTTTCTTGGCACGACATGGGCATCACCATTTTCTTGATACTGTGACGTACTATGCAAAGTCGTCTATCAATTAAATGTATTCAAATGTATGGATGCTTCCTTCACAGATTTCTGTGTGGTGATAAAGCATTTGATTCAACTGCTATTATCTTTTGTACTAGCTTGCCTGAACGCAACTTGCATAAATAAGTTGGTGCTCTTCTAGTTGAATATAAAGTCTCGCATAAATGAAATAGATTTGTCAGTTGCTGTATCTTAGTATTTTTAAATAAATGATTTACAATAAGTTCCCCTGTTTATATTTTTCACCCTCATCATCACCCCAACACCACCAACCACCATCATGATCCCTATGATAGCCTCTCACCTGTTCATACATGAACATGTACTCTATGCTGTCCTGTTCAACATTCTTCGTATCCAGGAAACAGAACAACTTGAAGAAGAGTTGCCAGGGCTTGCCTCTGTCACTCAAATTCCTGGCTACATACCTATACAAAGAAAGTGTCAAATGGTTGTAATTCAATCACTAAATGCTTTCATCCTGATATTTAAATTAAAAACAAAATTACGTCAATATATAATCCCCAATATAAACCAATAAGAGGGAAAAGAGGTTTTCATGATTCCAGCATAACAAAATATAGCATACATATGTAAATCTATGTAAGTATACACAACAAATATGCCCCTAACAGTCACAACTACTGCATTGTAACATGGAAGCAATTTTACACCGGAGAAAGGGCACCGAAAATGAGCTTGTCAGAGATTTTCATGAATTATGCCCCTCCACTTAACAGAATTCTGGATCCATCAATAATGACGTCCATGGATGCTAACAAATATGCAAACTCAAGTATCGTGGCAAAATGAGATTAATAAGGTAACTTGACAGTTTTGTTTTAGAATGGGCCAAGTACTACACAGCTACGTTGTATACTGTAAATAGTATCTAATTTAGTATTGCTTTAAATGTACTCCAATAACATCAGTCAACATGTATACCTTTCAAACTTTGTGAGGACATCAGCGATCACCGTTCTGTCATCGATGGCCTTCTCGACCTGTCCGCTTCTCTCGTAGAGAGCAAACCGATTGTGACATTTCTCAAGACCCATGCCCTTGATCAATGTATGTACAACCTGAACACAACAAATAACCAAAATCAAACTGATTATTAAAGAATTAATGAAGAGATTTTAACTATCAAACATGCTAAGACCACACCTAAAGCCCAGACTACAAGGATGACTAGATTGTGATAGAAATTGCAATGGGACAAAATATGAGATTTAAAAAAAGAAAAGTACATGCTTTCATGATAGGGGTCCAAAATGTTGATACGAAGAGGAATATTGAAATTGCTATCATTATCTTCACTATAATCATCATTAACATTATCAATACCATTAAGATTATATCAGTATCAATTTTATCTTCAACTGTTTTTATTATTCATTATCACCTATAAGATAATTGTTGTGTTCGATTATTAAAATTGTTAACATAGTTATCATTGTTGATTATAAGATGATGACGTGGATCGGAATCAAATGATTGGTTGAGAGCGCACCGTGACCAGGCTTTTGTTTTGCCTAATACTTGATTTGGATAACAACCGGTCATCATCGAATGCTAATGACTGGTCATTAGTAAAATCATGTTATAAAACATCATTTTATAAAACAAATCAAACATAATCTTATAAAACAAATAATACACATCATTTTGTTCGGGGATTAGTAAAAATTACCCACACTCGGTACCTTCAAAACAGTCCTGTTAGACCGTTCCAAAGGTACCTTGTGTGGGTGATTCTAACTAATGCCCTCACTGCTGTGTATTATTTGTATATTATTATCACCCTCATCACAATCTCACCTGGCCGGCTGTAGTAGACGAGTTGATTGTGATCTGACATGAGCCTTCTCCATGACAGTGGACGGTAGCATTCATCTCTCTTCGGCCCTTTAAAAACCGGGAGAAAAAGGACATTATTACCTTCTTCTTACAGAACAATGATTATTCAAGATTCTTTGGATAAAGTATAATCCTTTCCAAAGGAAGGCGGAAAATGAAAGATTTAGATTACCGAGATTCCATTGGACCAAGGTACATGTACATGTATCATCAACACTAATCAGTAAGAAATCTCATCCTATCAAATCAATTCCTGATAAATAATTCAATCATTAATGGAAATTAGAAGTACATTTTTCATAAATTTGGAGTCAGTGTTAATTGATATGAGTGAATGCCCTTCTAGTACCCAATCAGACAATATATCAGATCAAAAACAAATGAAACTACATCTAAGCTCAACGTACTAAGATAGCGATGATTTCTTGTCTGGATGGAGGGAACTCTCTGGTCCTGGTTCTCTTGAGAGCGTCTAATGCAAACGCACCATACTTAGACATCTGCGTGTCTGGGTACATGTCCATTTGTCTAGAGAAAGAAGTAGGGAAGAAAAAAAGGAAATGAAGAAATGTTTTTAGATGCTAGTCACTTCAAATGCTTAAGTTCAAATTTAAGGCACAATGGTGTAGGTTTCTGTCCCACTGCTGCCATCGACACTGAAAGAATTGCCAGTCTTTTCTATGACATGGGTTTCGATCCCACCGCTGCCACCATGTTAGTAAAGAAAGAGTCACCAGTCATTTCTATGACATGGGTTTGCATCCCACTGCTATTGGAAGAGACACCAGCTAATGCTAGGGCATGGGTTTAAATCCTACTTTCACCACCATGTCAGTAAAGAAAGAGTCACCAGTCTCTTCCATGTGATGGAATAATTTGTATCCAACACTGCCACCGTGTAGTGACAGTAATAAAAGAGTTACCAGTAGGCACTGGTTTATATCACACCGCTGACACTAGTATTGGGGGTTAAGCTTAGCCGATAACATGAATTACAGGTCACAAAAATATCATTCAGATAAATTTACAAGTACTACATATTTCAAAAATTAACGTCTATCCTACACACACTCATTGTGTGAAAAATCAACTTTTCCATCTAAACACAATAGTTGCCCACCTCTTTATGTGGAAGCGCACATATCTGAGGATGTTGCGGCTAGGAAGGAATGTTGCTGCCATACAGGCAATGAGTTGCCAGTTGCGGAGATTGTTGTGGCCATCTGGATCAAGGACCTGAGTGGTCTGTTTGACAACTTGACAGTAGACCTCGTCCCTCAGGGGTTTCAGGTCATGCGCCGTCTGAAGGATTGTCTGTAAAGAAAGGATATAAGGAGGACAGCAAGGTTAATATCAATATTACATCGTCACCAATATCTAATATCTTTTTTATTTAACAATGTTAGTTAAATGATGGTCTCACAGCCTCCGGTCTTCAGTAACAACCTGCAAATTTTACTTTCACTTCTACTAATGTCTAAGTCCAGGTTTTGTGTGGTACGCCATGCCATTGAGAGCCCATTTCCTATATTTTGATGATCTGAAAAAATGACAGCTTATATAAGTTCTTATATAATACTTAATCAGCCTTTCAAGACCAGAACTGAATCTTATCTTTACCGAGTCATGACAATTTCATGATGTGAGAGTTTACACTACTGACCTGTATAAGAGGTAGAGGATCTGGAACGTTGTCCAATGAGCCTTGAAGAGCTGGGAAGATCTTGACTGCTTCATCTTGAAGGGTAGAGTAACCCTTGTCTGGACCTGAGATAGATCAGAAAAACACTTCTATTTACTTTATTTACCTATACAAGACAAGAACAAGAAATCCTAACTCTTGACTATAAGAACACTTCCCAATGCCATCAAAAGTCAATGCTTAAAGGGATTGGGTAACTTTGCCTCAAATTCTAAAAAAACATCCTAGATTTAGCTCATACTGCAATCACCATTATAAACCTTTAGGTCATATATGTATCCCATGACTTTCACAAACGAATCGCCTGTCTGATTATCAAGATATCTATGATTGGAATTAGAAATTTTAGAATTTGTTTTCTTAACAGTGTTTATAAAACTGCCTATTGGGGAAAATGAGTATGGTAAATCCGGTCACTCAAAGATTTTTACTTTGTTGAGGCACTTCATGCCCATTTTGAAGTGCAATTATTTTTAGGGCTTCAATATTACACTATTTAACAGACACTGATAACATGTAGGGCCATGCATCTCCGATTTAACAATGTTAAACGATGCCTTTAACATAATATTTTTTAGACTTACTGCAGCTGAATCCTTAGTGGAGTGGTATGAGATGGGCCTTCTTGTAATAACTTCATTTAATCAACTCAGTAGACAAGTTCACAGTTATAAAATGTCATAAATGACCCAAATATCAAGAGATCTTCTCAACATGGAAAGGTTTCAATCATTGCATTTTATATTAATCCGGAACTATAAAGTAATTCAGGTGCTTCATGAATTACTTTTGTTTTCACAAAAATAATGCAATGTACATCATCCTGTGTATCATGGAATGCAGCTTTGGAGTAAATATTGACAATGATAACATATTTCCATGTCCACTTATCTATTATTTTTCTCAAATGGTTTTACAAGCGGGTACAAGTAATGCTCGTCTGCCCATGTAAAATAAAACAGTGGCATATTAGATCTGGGCTTGTATCACAGATTATTTCATCACACGTTCAGAGCCCCATAATTCCTTATGACTTACTACTGCTGATGTGTCCATAGGGGAGGGGTAGGAGGGGTGCCTTGATGGGGTGGGGCGTACTCCTCAAGATGGGGTTCAGCTGGTATATCCTCTCCAAGGCCTTCAAATCACCAGCTTGACCTACTTCCTGCATGATCAACACAAAAGTAAAGGTAGAGGTGTAGCAGTTGACAGGTTTAGTTACTCAATTGGGGAAGCATAGGTTGTGAGTTCAGCCCCGGCACAGCACTTATGACCAAAAGGAAAAAGCAACATTGCTCACCATCAAACATATTTCTTTTTCCTACTCTGCCCCAGCACCATCTTCAAAGATGGAGGCATAAAAAGATATGGGATTTCAAGAAGTCTGATCCATGAACATGCAAGTCTAACAGAGTGGGTACTTGGAAAGCAGTTTTTTACTGAATGTAACTACCCTCTATTTGAAATAAAACTTGAATAAATATAAATAAATAAACATCAATTAACACCAGTTAGGTACCAATAGGTGCCTGGTAGAAAGAGATTCCATGGATGCCCGAGGGCCTTCTCAGCTAAATCCAGGGTAAAAATGAGAACCCTCAAGAAGAACTTTATTAATACTGATGAGACTACCCTGGGTAAACAAGACAAAGTATTATCACTATTATTATTTCATGATCTTTTGTCTCATTCCCCACAACGCATGCAAATTGATCATCACTTTATAATCTTTCAAATATTTCCTCTGCTCCCTGTAAGTCAATGGAATGATGCCATACCCTGATTTCTTTGATGAGGGTCTGGAAGGGTGTTTCCAGCGGTGGTTTAGTATCAATCACATCCTGTATCGCATTGGTCCACCTCCATGCTTCCTCATTGGATGCAGAGTACAGATTGAGAGATGTCCGTCGACTGTGTAGGGTGATCTTCCAGCAGCCTGGCCAGGGAATAGAGACAATTTTGAGGTTTAATAGAGGACTGTTTGTTCGATGGGGAATTCACATTTTCAGACAATTATCATAAATTACCTATCAAGAGCACAATTTTGAGCCAAAATAATTTCAATGATAGCAAATCATTTCCTTCTGAAAATTTGCCATATTGTATTTGTATTTAGAATAAATGTCTTGTTCAAAATTTAAATAACTTTGGCTGCCAAATTGAGGTAAGTTTCCAGTGGTATAATCAAATACATATCAACATTCCTCTTTCAATATTTTGATTTCAAGTCTTTTTCCTTTGAGCTATAAAATAAAAACTATGTCAAACTCATAATTTATATCTTTTCAGTGTACATAAACAGGCAAAGAGACACAAGACAATTGCTCTAATTGCTCGGCATAATCTGCCTTCAACTATTGACCCAACAGCATCTATACCTAATCCTAAACTTATTCCAACACCATCCAACCCAGGCCAAACCAAGTATCTTTCATGAAATAAAGTCTACAGCAAATGTCATATCACTTTACTGTTCATGCATAGAGGGAGGGTGCATGGGATCGGGGAGGAAAAGCAGGATAGAGAAGAAAAAAGAAGTTTGCACAGAAGACACAAAGAAATTAAATGGAGAGAGCAGACAGAAAAAGAAGATATTGTAAGTATCACAAGGAGATAGAGTAGAGAAGAAATAGGTAGAGAAAAAGAAGAATACAGAGGGAGATATTGACTGTGTACTGTAAATGTGTAAAGGTCATTAAAAACAGGCTGCACAACTATCGGGATGTGGGAGTAATACATGTAGGGGAATAGGACATAATGAATATCAGATGAATGTGGAATAAAACAATACAGCACCCATCAAAAAGGGGTGTTAATGCCGATTGTGTAATTTAGATTAGTCATGCACAAACAATTAGGGGGCAAGAGGAGAACATCAGTTGAAGTCTACAGAACAGTGAATTGTAAATGAAACACATCATTTCCCTCCTGAATTGTAAATTTCTATTCCACATGATCGGGGACTGCAGATGATAAACCACTGGAGGAGGGGTACAAGCTGAGAACCATTGGGAGTGGTGGTGGTGGTGGTGGTGGTGGTGGTGGTGGTGGTGGTGGTGGTGGTGGTGGTGGTGGTGGTGATGATGGTGGTGGTGGGGGTGGTGGTGGGGGGGGGGGGGGGTGATGGAGATGGTGGGGAGGGGGAGGAGTGAATAGCAGTCTCATGCCAGGAGGGCACACCAAAATAACTATTCTTACATTCATATCACTTAAAAATTCAAACTCCACACATTTCTTACCAGTCAATTTGCCTGTTATATTTCCATGTCAAATTTATATTTTTTTCATTTATATGGGAGAATATAAAAAAGAAGGAGTGCAATAAGTGATGTTAGTGAAATACATAACAATAAACTCAATTTATCAACCAAAAATAAAATATACACTTGAAGTAATATGATACTGCTGCATATTTTGTGCAGGAAAGTACACTGTGCTCTGTGATTAAATTTAGAGTTGAAATAAGAATTAAGTATACACAAAATTAATCATTCAAATCTTGGGGGCAACGTACAATTTAGCTACCAAGAAAATGCAATATAAATGAACATTGCTTTCAAAAGTAGAACTTTTGTGTTTATAAGGGCATGTTTGTAAGTGACTTTTAAAGAAATGCAGATATGTATAGCAGAGCGTTTTGTCGTAAAAATATACCGGTAAGCATGTACTTGACAATCGTCTAACTGAATACAAATGGGTCACAGAAAGGGAGAAGAGGAAAAGGGAAAAATAAACAGAAATGACCTATAAATAAAAAGAGAATGATTTCGCCTCGCATTGTCACTCAAGTGACTACAAAAGGTCAAAATATAAGTTATACAACATGTAGTATGTACTTGATCAAATTTATTTTAACTACTATACATGTAGGTTATGAATGAAGAAGTTAGTACATGTAGTTGGATATCTAAGTGTGGTTAGTTAGCCTAATGACAGTTTATGTTTTGGAGCTTTGATCATAGACATGCACGCACAAAATGAAATACATACAGAATTCAACAAATGCTTTCACATTCGTTTAGTGAAAGCATGTCTGTAAGTTCTGCATGCCGTGAAACATACACGTATCATGCATGCAAAAACACACGTCGCGAATGACATTTGGCACCTGGCAGCAAAAGAATGACATGTAAAATGCACAATAGCTAATTTCTCTATAACTTGGTTTTATCTAGATATTTTATTGATAGTAATTGATGAAACATGAAATAGGGTTCTGTTTACACTTTTTTGAGGATTCATACTTCCAACAAAAAAAAATCAGATTATTTCTCTAAAAATATTGAATATAAGGAACAATTCATGACAAGCTAAAAAAGATGTCTAGAGGGACAACTTTTACATTTCTTTAATTTCCCCTTATTAGCCCTCTAGTTTTCAAGAGCTAATTGTTCTCTGCATTTAGTGTAAAGGGCTCCAAAATAAAATTTGTGACAAAGGGTCCAGCTTGATATTTCAGGTTCTCTGTGCATTTTTTGTTGTACCCCTGTGTAAATTTCTAAATTTTGTATACAAACATCTTTCATTATTTTTGTTACTTTAAAAGAGGCTCTTTTCTCTTTTCCATTTAGATTTTTTCCTTCTTTCATTTTCATGCAATTGGCAACACCAAGACACAGACATGCAATATCAAAAGACCATTTACATGCGACACAGCTTTGACTACAAGCACAAGACAACGGACATCCATTGATCAACCGATCACATCTTGGACAGCATCTTTTCTTTTTTTCATCCAACAAATTGCTTTTTGCATACATACCCTCTGGCCCTGAAGACTTAGATTTCTTTCGGGTGCGTATTAGGGTGGGGACACGACTGGTCTTGCGCCCACTCGAACCGTTCGTTAACGAGTGAGACATGGGCATGTTTTCGTATGTTGGATTCTCATTTTCGTTATTAATTCCATTCCTGTAGTAATCGTTGGGTGCATCATTCACAATGTGGATGTCTGAATAAAGCCCTGATTTAATAAGATTTGTTTCGGAGTGGTGAGATGGATGTGTGTGTACGGGGGAGAGTGTAGGTGTGTGGGGAGGGGTGGCGCAATAAATGAAGAGAGGAAGTGTAAAAAATAAAGGATGATGGTATTAATGTTTGAATGGTTAGAAAGAACAAACTCATGGTTAAACAGACCATAATAAAAAATATTAATGTGCTTCAGCTTTCAAAGATTCAATTCACTAACAGGTTTTTGCAGTGTAGATATCTGTTTACTGTGAATTTGAAATCTGTATTAGACACTTTTCAAGTCTTTTGTTTGGTGCAAATCAAAGCTCTCAAATTCTGGATTAAACCTAATCTATTTGACTACAGATTTGAAAGGCTTACCAAAAATTATTGCAAGGCCAACTGAAACAGTACATACAAAGAATTCCATACATTTTATTTGGTTTCTAATAAACACTTTTGATTTGATGCAAATAAATTAATTCAGAAATATATGAAAGTAATGCTTGGGCATGGATTTAAAATGAGTAGTGATTTCATGGCAGGAAGTGAATTACTTCAAGACAGAAAATACAAAATCTGAATTAATCTCAATATTCCACCGGGAAAGAAAATGTTATATAAACACCACAAAATTGTACAGAAGAGTTAAAATGATTACACATTATTGCTTTCAATGATGCTTCATATATAATTAGAAATGAGGTAAATGCTGTATGAAAGTATGCATTATTCCTTTAAATTTGTAATGCATTGATGATTTAATAGAATAATGAACATGAAAAAAAGGATAATATGCAATTAAGTCAATGTATTAAAGATTCAGGAAGCATAGAATAAATGGTTCTGGGTAGATAAAAATAGGAAGTAAATGGCATTCATATGCTAAAGACTAAAGAGTACTGAGATATATATGAATATCTTGATTTTTGTATTAATCATGCAGCAGACTTTGGAATGATGAGGAAAGAGAGCAGGAATTTGAAAGTACAGGAAATCTGGATAATTCTGCCTTGTACTGTACTAAAATGTACAAAGTTAATGTATAAGTACCCTTTTATATAATAATTATAATGAAAGGAAATTTTGAAAGAAAAAAAGGGGGGGGGGGGATTTATTTAAATCCTGTTGAAATTCCTGCCCTATCAACTTTGTAATTACAAAGAGAATTTCCTTCTATATTCCTAACAATTGCTATCTTCTAACAATTTTATTTCCCTTTATAAGAACTTTTTTAGTGTAATTTAAAGATGGACTCTAACCGGGCCATACTATCAATTCCGCTTGATATTGAACCATAAATTTTGTATGCAACATTTCTCTGTTATGGTATTACTGTCATATTTTACCCTCCACTCAGTGCTCTGGTCCAATAAAGAGCACATTGATTAATGTCTATTTTCTGGGTTTGTTTTGTTTCCAGTGGTTGGGTGGCAGCGGTGGGATCTAATGTTATTAGGGAGAACTCCATTAGAACCATTAACCAAAGACTGTGTAAGTATTAACATACATGTATGTCTACTGAACTATGATCAGTGAATGTGAACTGTAGCTTACCTTCTTCCTTGTGTGTCTTCTCGTCCGGTTCCGTCACGGAGCAGAGACTGTTGATGGCAATAGCCCCCATCTTCTGCAGGCACTCGATGCTGCGGTAGTAGTCCAACGAATGCTGCGTCAGGACAAAGTAACGCTTCTTGCGTGAGCCTCCGGCCCGTGCGAGACCCGTCGTGTTCTCCTTGGTCATCCAGCCACTCAGGATGACCTCCTCCTTCCGGTATGTCCTCTGACCCTTGTGGTATTGGGTCAATGCTGGTCAAGGAACAGTAAATATTAATTCATTAAAAAGAAGAAACAAAAAATGACAGGAAAAAGACAGGACATAACTATACAAAACTTGAAGAAACCATTCTGAAGAATAAAGATACCGGTACGTCTCAGTTTATTATGTATTTTATGAATTCCTTATTACATTACGATCTAGGAGAAAAATTGTACAAACATGAATGAAATCTGAAAAAATTACAGATACAAGTAACAGGTAAAAACAAAGGATGGTAAAAAGTTGTAATTCATACCTGTTAGCCAGTTATTCATTTCCTCTGCTGTTGAACCCACAAGGCTTATCACTCTTTCTGCAGTGATAATGGCGAAGGCATTTGGTCTGGTGAAAAATGTGCACAAAACATAAATTATTGAAAACACTTAATTTAGACTGAAATTTCATGGCAACAACATGTGACACAAGTGAAAAATAATCCTACATCACAATAAAGCCTAAGGTTGAGTGCAGAGATGAATATGCAATCATCAAGACACATATACATATGTATATTTATGTAATAATGCTTTATAAATATCAAAGAATATACTCCAAATCCAGGTGTACATGTAGTACATAAACTTGTTTCACTTTACATAACCAACAAATTTGAAGGGCAATAAGAATAAGTACATGTAGTCAATAAAACCCAGTCAAGATGCTACTGGAAAAAAGTAAGTAAATCCTACATTGCCTGGTTCATCAGTTATAATTTCATAAAGCCATGTATGGATACCCCTAATAAGCTAAATACTCATGTAAAACCCCCTAGCATACATGTATATTTTAGTGTTAAGATTCCTTAATTTACAAGAAATATATAATGTGGCAAACAAACAACCTTAATGACTTACTTGGCTACGACATTGACAGGAACGACTGAGTCGATGAGACCTACGTCCAGAGAACCGATAGCATTCTTAGGATTAGCCTCCTCATCTCTCATCTGACGAAGCTCAAACTCGTTTGCGTTCTTCACTCTCGTCAGTATGCTGTACCACTCACTGTCAAAAACAACAACAAACAACAAATATCCTCAGTGAAATCACTAGGTGAATTATTCTCTTCTAAAACTATAGGCCTGTCTTCATCAGCTCGAAATTGCCAAATATCCTGCTATTTGAGCTATCCCGATTGCAAATAATCCAGTTAATTTGTGTCTTCATCAGCCCGAAGTTGCAATTAGCGGGATATTTGGTCGAGATAATCATCCCAAGATATCTTGGGCTAGTCTGCAAAAATATCCCGCTATTTGTCCAGTGCTTCTTCACCAGCCCAAAGACTTGCACTATGCACGAACGCTGAGCAAAATATCTCGAGCTTCAAGTTTCGAGGTCAATTCTTGAGCTGATGAGGACGCTATTTGTACCTCCGGGCTATTTCCCAAATCAGATATAGCGGGATATTTGGCAATCTCGAGCTGATGAAAACAGGCCTTATGTGTATAATGTTTGAGGTAACCTTGAGTTGTGGTAATAGAAGTTGCCTTGTCTCTCATCTGTAAAAGCTCAAAGTGGCAGGCATTCTTCACCTTCAACAGGAAGCTGTGTCACTTACAGTCAAATGACAATAATGTCAATAGGTGAATTATTCTTGAAAAACCTACCATACATGTAAAAAATGGTATGATCCAATTTTAAAGAATGGGATTTTCCCTTATGATATCATAAGTACATTCCACACATGTACATTGTGCTTTAGGAATGCAGTAAAATAAATATGCCTTGAAAGGAAATATCATTGCACATGGAGTTACCTACATACATGTGCATAGAGTTTGAAATCTAACCCCACTCCTTAAAGCCACACTGTACTACTTGTAGCTACTTGCTCCCTCTATATAGAAAACAATGCCTAATTGGTGACCATCAATTGGTCCCCCATGATCCTCTTTTTCTTATGTTAGTTGAGAGCTGAGTTGATGAGATAACCACCTGTCCAGTGACATTACAGGGTAGTCTAATCCCTCCTATAAACTAGTACAGATGGGCTTTAAATATCCACAAATACCCTACCACCAACGTAAGAACGGTCCCTTACCTGCATTCGTCTGCTGTTTCAGCTACCACATGGTACGTTCGTTGGTCTGTGATCAACTCCAAAGAGTTCTCACGTCCAACGCTGCTGTCAATGATTTGCCTGCAGGAGGAGATGGAAATTTGATTTTAGTGCTAATGTTCTAGATTACTTCTTTCAGAATTGACTTACTTGTTAGGTCAATAGAACAATCACTTACTTCAAATCTTTAAATTGGTTCAATTCCCCCTTTAATAGCCTCCCGGCACAAAACATTTTTTTTCCAGTATAATACATGTACATTGTACATCACTTATTTTTAGTTGAAGGTAGAATGGATTGATTTAGTCTGCTAACAAAGAATCGAAACTGACAAAATCAGCATGCTTCTACCTGATTTCAAATACCATTACTTTACAGACTTTTTCCAGGTACATGCTTCTGTGGAAACACACCATAATCAAATCATAATGTTAACATTAATGGAATAGCAGGTGTACTTTTCTGGGTACACTTGCCTTCTCATTTCTGGACTTCAATAATAGGGTGACTTCACGCATATAACATATTTTCCCCAATTTATTTCATCCAAAAATGAAAATAATATTGGTGAGACCATTTGATAATGTTAGTTATACCAGAAAGAACCATTGATCATGTCAAGCGAATTTCATCGACAGATGTACAAGACCATTGCACAGAATTGCCCTACAATGCAAATAAAGCTAACTCTAGCATTCAGGTTCCATAGTCCGAACCCTGTGCTATGTGCAATGACTGGAAGGGTTCTTTTTAGCTACCATAGGTAGACTTACAAAGCGCTCTTGATGTCAATCTTGCCGAGAAGCTTCGCACCATCAGAGTCTGATTCATAGTATGAAAGTATGGTATCCTTGAGGACAAAAAACCTCTTCTTCCAGTTACGCCTGCACAACAAAAGATACATGTAGGATTACTTAGTGGGTGAATGGTGTGAAGTTAATATTTTTTCACAAAGGAAATGAGAAACTTTGAAAATGGCTGTAAGTTTAAATCTCCATTGAAATAACAATTAAATTGTAGACATATACCTAAATGGACTTATCACTATGCCATTCTTGGATGTGGGATTTATTAGATCCATACAAAACTTTCTTTATGAAAAAAGATTTGTTCAATATTACAATACCGGTACATGTAAAGTATAGTCCTACATTTTGTTTAATTAACACAGTATCTAGGCGGTACTGACAATAACATCATCTTTATAAATACTCATGTCCTAGGAATAATATAAATACATGAGAATGTAGTTTCACTTCATCACAATAAAGAGAAAGCATGTTACCTTGATAATGTTCCAGTTCCTCCTCCCTTCTTCTGAAGCCATCCAGATTTCAATGCTTCCTGTTGATCAAACAGAATTTGTTTTTTTCCTCCGGTCAATATTAGCCGAAACCAAGAAGTATTCTCCCAATCACAATTATTTATACAGGGTGATTACTAAGTTCAAGTTCAAGTTCATTTTATTTCCATTTCTCGTATAAAAATACATTTAACAATACAATATACATATACATGTAAGCAAATATATAAATATAAATAATACAAACAATATGGAGGAGCCAGCAGAGGCCATTGGCCTTTCAAAGGCTGGGCTCCAGTGTCCTCAGATAATAATACAAAGTACTGAGAAAAGAAACAATGGGTAGTAAATAAATAAACAAATGAGTACAGGCTAATTAAATTAAACATACGATAGGAATTCCTTCATTAAATAGTTCTTGTATTTACGTTTAAATGAGGCAACAGATGGGCACTATTTTATATGGATAGGTATTGCATTCCAACTAATTACTCCGGAATATTTAACTGATCTACGTGAAGTATGGTATTTTAAAAATGGAATATATAAATCATTAAGTGAACTACAGTATCAAGGAGAACTTAATTGACGTGTCGCACAGTGAAGAAACAAGGGATACACATCACAATATCATCATAATATTTCTGGTAGTTCTCAATATAAATATACCCTACTTTGACAAAAGGAAGCAACTGTTTCATTGCAAAAACTTTATACTTGTCTCTGCAAAATACAAAGAAACTTCTCTTAACGTGGAGATTCTTCTTACGATGTAAAACATAGACAGACATTCCTGCATGAAAGCTCAATATACTCTTACTGTTCAAACTTTTTTTCTTTTGTTTTAGGTGCTTTCCCAGGATTTCTTTAAAAAAAATCTAATTGTTGTTGATTCCTTTTGTCAATGTAGGGATCTAAATTGATGGAATGGACTGGGTATGTAAGTCTAACCTGCTTGGTTCTGAACCACATGAGGGTTTCGTCTCGGAGAACAAACCAACGCTTCCTCCATGTGTTCATCATACCTCCTGGATGGTGGAAAGAGAATAGGTGGAAAATAGTTGGTTCCGTAACCATATGTATGTCATCATCACTATCATCATCATCATAATCATCAAACCATAACAGTCATCATCATATCCACCATGACTATAAAGATGATGATCATTATGATAATCATCTTCATCATTCTCATTGTGAACATCTTTTCATGACAGCCAGATCATCATTCTCACCGCTTTCATCATCATCATCATCTTCATCATCACCATTATCACCAATACCATCACCATCATCTACACCACCATCTTCATCATCCCTTCCACCACCATAAATACCACCACCATCTTCATTCCACCCAATGGCCGGCCACCATCAACACCATCATTGCCAGCATCAACACCACTACCACCATTATCATCTCAACAGACTAGTAGTCATCTATAGGAAACCTTCAAAGTACTGCATCTCATCAGATTTCCTTGAAACGGTATACTGGTAATAATTACCATCATATCACAATTATCTTCTTCATCACCATCACCACCACCACCATCATTATCATCTTCATCTTACCAGCCTTCATCTGTAGGAAACTCTCAAAGTACTGCGTCTCCTCAGACTTCCTTGAAATGGTATCATCGTCCTCATCTTCATCCATCTCAGAAACGTCCTCTGGTAGATCTTGTTCAAGCTGAAAAAAGGTGAGCAATAAAATATAAAATCATTGAATCTGTAAATTGAATATATATCATGATTTACATTTATTCAAATTACTGATTAAACAGCCGTCAAATGATTTAAATCAATGAATTGAAAAACAAATCAAAATCTTTGTTGATTTGAATTAACTATAAAATAATCCACAAAATCCACATAAGCTCACCACATAACTGGAAACTTTTTGTTAAAAATATCTTTCATAATCTTACGATTAATTCTCTTGCATATTAACGACTATGTATATGCATATACATGTATATAACAAACAATAAAGTCAGTCATTTTACTACAAAACACATCAAACAAAACCAAACAATGTTAATGTATTCACATTTAAGAATTTAAGAAGAGGCAAATAGTATAGACAAACAATACATTTAAAAAAATCTATTACCATGGCAATAGACTGATCAAAGTCCTGCATGATGTCCTTCTCTGCCTCTGCTAGCCTGGCTTGTCTCATCCTCTCCAGCTCTGCTTCTCGTCTAGCAACCTCCTCCTCTAGAGCCCTCTCCTGGTCCTCTTGCTCCCTCAGTAAATCATCCTCCTTTTGTTTCCTGGAGAAAATTCAAGGTCAAAGGTCAGTGAAGTATCAAGTAATACAATGTTGGTAAAGATGATTGTGGTGATAGGAGGAAAAGAAGATTACTTTACATCTACATGTAGGAAGTTACAGGAGCTATGAAAAGTGAATATAGATAACCAGCAGTTGTAAATATTACTGATTACATGGGGTTACTACAAATATGATTTCAATGTTTAAAACCGCCTTTTCTTGAAATTCAAAGACTTAAGAGCCAATAACCGAAAGACAAATCTAAAATATATGAAACTTTGGAAATCTCATCTTTATCAAGCAAACATGCTGTTGGCTGTTATATTGCATGTACCTGTTTATTGTGAAATATGTAAGCATCTCATAATCTAAGGGTAGATATACTTTCTAAATGTAGTTTCTTTTAACATACCTCATTTCTTCCTTCTCTCTGATAAGTCTTTCTTCTTCAGCCTGCAAAGATGGATAGAAAACAAAATATCACAAATTATTTTCTTTCCTATGATGTACATGTTCATGAACTACCTCATTATCAATATATTACCTGAAACATTATCATCAATGACTGCATCATGGTCTGTCATTCTCAAATTGGCAACAATTTCAGTGGAATCCATTAATTTCTTCATTTACAAAACATCTTTAAAACTTTTTGTCATAGTATTATCCATGTAAATTATTTTCATACATATGTGTTGTTACTTGAACAGTGTAGCAATAAAGGAAAATTACCACTGTTGCCAATTTGAAGGAGAATATGGGATTTATATTATTCCCTTAAACAAATCTTGTCCATAAGGATTATTCCTTTCTTTCTATGAGCCTTTAAAAGTAGTTCAAGCTTACCTTCCTCCTCGCTTCTTCTCCCTCTATCATTTTCTGTTTCTCTATTTCTCTGGCTCTCTCAATCTCTGCCAATCGGAGCTCCTCGTCTTGCTTCTTCTTGGTCTCTTCCTCTTCTTGCCTCTGTCGAGCTTCTACCTCAAGCTAAAACAAAAATTATGAAAATGAGATTACGCGTTTCAATAAAAAATATTACATATGATTTTATTTTATTGTAAAAAAAGTTTATTTTGTAACCCATTGCCTACAGGGACCGGTTAGCACCTGTTTTGTAATTGTTATTGATCTTTATTTCATTCAAAATAAAACATCATAAAAAATGAAATACAAAACATAGTGAACAAGTTAAAGAGAAACATTTACAATAGAATACAACAACAACAAAAATGTCATATGAATGTGGAGACAGCTAGGAAAGCTTGTGCTGCGACCGACATATAAATACAGTTTAATATTGTTTTTTTAAATGGTGATTAAAAAACAAAACAAACTAATGCCTAAATACAGGCTCAAAAACAAAACAAAACCCTGAACATGTACAAAATCAATCTTTAATTATATTGTTGGATTAAAAATAATTTGTATCTCCTTTTAAAAACATTAATTGATATGAATATGATAATCAGTAGACAACAGATTAATAGTCTTTGGCAGGTGCATCGAACACGTAATAAAAGCACTGTGAAGACATGCGCATCAGTATATCCTAAGAGATGACACGGCCTCAAAGAACCTCACCTTCTTCTGCAATATTTCCATCTCTTTCAACTTGGCTTCTTGTTTCAGCCTCTCAAGCTCTCTGGAAAAAAGAGAAAGAAAAACGTTTAGATTTGTTACTAAAATATTACAAGTCATGGGATTTTACTTTTCTTCTTCTTTTTCCTCATCAAGTGCTACTACATGCAACACAGATTACGCACTGCAGTGATTAGGGGTGTGCAGGTGGACCCCTACAAAAAGGTTCCCCTTAGTCTTATACGTTCTTAACGTGCAAAGATGGACAGCGCTCACTTAACTGTTCACAAGAGACAAGCAGAATTTTGTTGTAACTTGTTCAAACCTCTATTCATCTGAGTAAACTGTTCAAGAGAAAGATATATATGTAAGAGTAGCACAAAGCAACCCAATGCTTACTGGAACCGAATGGCCCCAGTATTAAACCTATGGTATGTATGAATTAAGAAGGCAACAGGTTAACCCATTTTCGAATAATTCATCCTTTCCATATATGTGTGTGCCATTTATCAATATAAGTTTTTTACCTTTGTTCCTCTTCCTCCCTCCTTCTCTGCTCTTCTCTCACTCTCTCTTCCTCCTTCCTCTTCTCTTCTTTCAGATAAGCCAGATAGTTCCTGGCCTTGCGAGCTCTCTCGTACTTCTGCATTACGATTGCTGCATTCTTGATGCGTATGAAAGCAAGACGTCTTTGATGCATCTACAGAGAAAAACCAACAACAAAATTCAACACAGGCATTTAGTTATTACTTTAAATCAAACATGACAATCACATTACTTTGATAAAATACATATAATCAATTGAATATGATAAAACCACAACTATTCCCTTGGGATTTATAAAAAGAAATCTATCTATATCTACCCCAGTATATGTTTATGTTGATGTACTTATCAATCAAATATGGCATGTTGGTTGAAAATAAAAGAAAAAGAGTATTGATTGTGAAAAATGACAAATGTTGTGAAAATAATCAAGACAAGAGTAAAGCAAATATAGTTTGAAAAAGTGGTATTTCTTACCCTAACAACATTCTGTACCACAATGATCTTGGCTCGTGTTCTCAGGTACTGCTTTCTGAAAATAAAGGAGAACAAAAATCTTGATAAAAAGTGGAAGGTGAGGATCTGAAAATATTCTTCTAAATACTATTTTACATATATATATAGTAAATGAGATATATATAGTAAATGAGAAGAGTTATAGAGGGAACAAAATATATTAAATCAAGGCCTACACAGAAAACATAGGTCTTTAAGAGTTTACTTCTCTGCACACCAACATTTTATCTGAGCATGTCAACTACCGTAATCTATTAAACACAAGTTACTTTCTATTCTGAAGGCAGCTCTTGTGGTATTCAAACTTGAATTATCTTTTTAATAAGGAGTATTTGAAGTTGACACATTGAATGTGGGACAGCCTCCAAGCAAACAAGGATTTTATGGTAATGGGTCTACTTCAAGCTACATTTTTATTAAGTTTTATTTAATACTGCGTTTTCCTTGATAGAGGCCTCATTTACATACACAAGGTATTTCTTAGAGGTCCTGGCCTATTGTGTATTCTGTGTTTATGATTTGTATTTTTTTAATGCCAAATAAACTGAATTGAATTGAATTGAATTGAAGTGTCCCACCCTTCCAACAGGTGCTAACTACCTAAATCAGACCAACCTTTGCATGTGCCCCTTGAACGCAGCTTTGATGAGGTCCGCTTTGACCCCTAACATCCTCTCTCTCTCCGTCTCCAGGGTGTTCTCTAGGGTCTCCTTGAGGAAGGCCTTGTTCTTCCCTAGCTGCCATTGCTTCCTGGTCCCATCATACTGCAGGAGAAGCACGCTACACTTCTGCTTGGAATCGTCCGAGGATGTCATCGTCTTGAGTTGCTCTTTGCTGAACAGTGATTTGTACCTGGAAAATAACAGGGGCAGTTTAGGGTTGGTTCATTGGAGTATTTTGATGGTTAGGTTTTAATTGATGACCATTGATTATTGATTTCCATCCATAATATTATTTTTTCAGGTGAATAATCCATTTTGTCATCACAACACTTATATATACATATTTCCATCAGTGCCACCATTAACTTTAACATCATCAACATCATCATTACCAATATCAACATCATCATTGTCACCATCACCATCATTACCACCACCACCATCATCATCATCATCATCATCATCATCATCATCACCATCATTTTCATCACCATCATCATCAGCAACATCATCATCATCATCATCATCTTCATCGTCATCAGAATCTTCACAATATTTGCAATCAAAATTATCATCATATGGAGCATCATCACCTGTGCTTTTATCATCATCATTATCATCATCAATCAATGATTGTCTCACCTAGCAATAAAATCTGTATATATTCTTCTGACCGGGTAGCCTGCCCTCCTAATCTTAATGGTCTCTAGCATTCCAGAGTAACGAAGCTGATTCAAAACCACCTGAGGCTGGAACTTGGTTGGAGCCTGCAAAGATCAAATCAAACACCAATTAAATTCCTTTACTTTCATCCATCAAAATGATGATTTTTGAAAAGTGAGTTGATAACATCAGAAGGGACCGCATGAACAGATTATGGAATAAATGCAGATACAACAGATACCAGTAAACATATAGTGAATAAACAATCACACAGGCTTTAGATCAATATGTATATAGATTTAGTGTTTTTTTTTTTTTTTTTAGTGATTTATAGTGATTAGTGATCACAGATTTGCTCTGACAGTTCCTCCAAGCCCTATTTCATAAAACATATTGGATTAAGATTAGCGTTGCAATAAGGTCTTTACTATGTTAGATTTGAATAAAGTAGATCATGTCCGAGGTCACCGGTCTTTTCTATGGCATGGGTAGAAGCGCTGTGGTCGAGTGGTTAAGTCGCCGGATTATCTATCACTATCACAAGGTCCGTAGTTCGAGACCCGCTGCGGCACTAATGTCCTTTGGCAAGACATTGATCTACATTTCCCACACTCAACCCAGGTGATGAAAATGGGTACCTGGCAGGAATTAATTCTTTGAAATGCTAGAGCGCCCTAATGGCAGCACAGCTAAAGCCTGGGGTAATAGTCTCCCAGTTTGGAAGCGCTTACCATAGTGATTGTAATAAGCGCTATATAAAAACTGAGTATTATTTTTATTATTATTACTTATATCCCACCACTGCCACCATGTAACTAAAGAAAGAGTCAACAGTCAATTCTTTTTAACTTTCAATGCTTCTACAGTGAAACCTGTATATAAAGACCACTCAAAAGAAAACATGAAAAGTGGTCTTGATAGGCAGGTGGTCTTTATGTACAGGTTCCTTTGGCACAGGTTTCAATGAGAAACCAGATGCAAGGGAAACATAAAATGTGGTCTTTATAGAAAGGTGGTCGCTACAGCAGGTTTGACTGTATTTCTTTTCAGAGTGCATTTCATAAACATAATAATTTACAAGAAAATTTCACCGTATACTGTACATGTGTATGACCTATTAATTTAGTACAACATTCTTACCAAATGAGATGAATTCTATTTTAATCACCAACCTTTACTGTCAATGCTATATTTTCAATGTACAGGGACGCCAATTAATTTTCAACATAATCTCTCTTGTCAAATTTTGTCCTACAACTTCCTTGAATCTGTCACACAATTAATTTTTACTAAGCTTTTGTTAGATAAACATTAATAGTAAGGAAACACTTCATTATAACAGTGGAGGTTCACATATCTCTCAATTTAAAAAAGATGGATAAGCGTACCAGCAATTATATAAAGGCAATAATAGATTGAGGTTAAAACCCTTAAATTTCATTACTATATTCATGTGATGATTGCACAATTTTGAAACGAATGCTCAGATGACAATTGCTCCTGTGTAAGTTTCAAATGCCTGACTTTAAACTATACTCCTAACAATAACCCCTAATACTATCATGAAAATCTAATCACAACCCTAGACCTATACTGCAATGTCCTGATGAGTCTTTAAAGGTTTGATAATGATTAATCATAAAAGAACGCGGTGCATTTAAAATTGGGGGAAATTATTCCACCTTAGAATATGGTTCAAGATGTGGAGAAGAGAATCATTTTCTGAGGGTTACATGTAGAAGGGCATCATATCCATGTATCATCATATGACTTAACACCCATTATAGCTCTTAACAGATGAATCATCTGTCTGCACTTTAAGATGACAGGAATATGAAGAAGTGACAGGCCTAATCTACAAGTAGTCACAGGTTCCTCCTTTTTCCGGGATTCGGTTAAGACGTCAACCCTTGTTCTGTCTGTAATAACACCGTTCTGAAAAGAGCTAGAGGGAGCTAACCTCTATCCGAACTCATCTGAACTCTCCCATCAACATTGAAATCAAATTTTTTTTCTTATCAAATGATGAATGAGCATAAGAGTACCATGGTGCTGATAAAATTCAGGTAGGAAACAAGTTCAAACATCAAATGAGAATATGAAATGTCAAATATACTGCATTGGTAATTTTTGTCTTGATTATTGATGTAAAAAAGGAGTTTAGGCTGTAATTACAGTTTGTACATGTATACAATTATTTTTCTTCAAAGACCACAATGGATACAAACACTGTAACTTATTAAAGAACATCACAAGTTTGATATTGTGCACTGAAAAAAAACTCCTTCATTCATATCATGAAAATCATTTTAAATTTTCTTGAAAGGGTGCGAAGTTGAACCTCCTTAGGAACCCAATTCTTTATTGTGGTTACCCAAAGGTGATAATTGAGAACTTAAACACTTGCAATTACTCAATTTGCAGACATTCTCTAATACATCACGTCTATAGCTCAGAGGCGACGACAGGTTCATGCCTAAAGCGCTTTGATATTTGCAACGTGACGAGGAAGCTCCTCATACATTTAAAACCAGCGACTAAGCAAGGTGCGGCGGAAGTAAAATAATGTTGTTGCCTGTCGTCCTCTTAAGCAAATTTGTTTGAACGTGCAATGCTAATGGGTAAGGGCTTCTTTTAGAAACGGCTGATGACTGAAGAGTAAACAATGTTAAAACAAAGGAATTCAATTAAGGAGCAGGAGGTGATTTCCCGACTACGGACGCTACAAAGTTTGAGCCTCACCCTAAACTCAGGATATGAAATTGTCTGCTGAGAGCTGGAAGGGTGTTAACTCCAAATGTAAAGTCTCATTTATACTTAATGCCGAGCTGATTCTCCAGAGGCAAAAATATGAAAAATAAAGCAATAGGAGTTTCTAAGGAAAGGACAACTTTCACAAAACATTTTCGCATTGTATTTATGTATTGGTAGCAATTTCAAACCAATATTTTTCTTTTTTAAAACATTGCTCCCCTCCCATTTGCCCTAAAAGGATTCAAAACTTAAATCTTCCCTTATAATCATACATTCACCTAAAAAAAACAATTATTGCAAATATGTTTTTATACAACCCCTGTATGAAACAAATTCATGTCATCATCAATAACTGAGAAAATGACAGTTTGTGAAATATGTTGTACAGAGCGAACTGGAGAGGAGCTAGCAAAATACGTCACAGTGTTCCCAATATATGTGTTTCACCAATGACAACTTTAACAATTCATCAACTTTCCTATTTTTAATCAGATATTGCACAAACTTTCACTCATTTGTGTCTCTCACTTTACGCTTTTATTAAAACCAACTGAACACCAGGGTGGTCACTACTGATAGGACCCAGCACATGGAAGTGGCTTATATACTTTAGGAGAGGAAGGAACGTCTTGTCATTAAAGAGCTCGTGTCCTACAAGGGGGAACTTCCCCTCGCTGCCTGCACTTGTCAGTTCATATCGCTGTTACCATGGACACGATAACAAGTGGGGCAGTTAGGGAGCATATAACCGATACCCTAAAGGGCACTGAACTCTATAAACGCAGTTGGCGCTTTCATCAAAAGCAGTTTTCACCTTCCAGGCCTAAAGTGACTAAAAATGACTTATTTTTTGTATAAATCTTTGTTGACACACTTATACGGACCCTTTCAGTGCAAGTAAAAACAAAGAGAATACATGTAGCTATCCGTAGTTTAAACATCAAGTAAAGCATTCAAATGACTAAGCAGTATTAGCTCCGGGTACACAAAGGGTTTAATGTCAAATTGAAACTTCTAACCAGAAAAATAGCTTTTGCAATAAAAGATATAATATAAAAGTGATAAAACCTATGCATATATCTCTGCAATCTACAGAAACACATTAACATAAAACTAGAAGATAATAGGGGTCCGTCTGCCCTTAGCTCTTTTAAGAAATAACACAGGTGTTGGCAATGGGGGACAGGACTATTCCTCTTGGAACATTTGCACAACTTTCGACCATTCCAGGGAGTACTGACTCACAACAAATCTGAGGTTTTTCCGTGCGAAATAATGATTACATTGTATTAGTGCTAATAGGTGACAAATAGGGTGATCATGAAGAGCAATTAGTTGTGGAAACTCTACAAATTTCCCTTTAATGCCTTGCTCTCTGTCATGATATTTTTTGAAACATTCAAACCGTCTAAAGTAATGTTGTCAGAGGTGATCCACATTTGAGCGGAAATCAGCGAGACGTGCAGACTTTGTAAAATGCCCATAAAAGTGCATGTGTGTGGTAATAACAAGTTAGATATCTACATTAAAAGAGAGTACCTATTGGCACACACTGAACATAACCCATTGGAAACTGAATTCATTCATTCCCATAGGCTTAATACAGTAACCACCTGGCTTCCACAGGCAAGGGTTGACAGTGAAAATTTGAAATTGTAGTCATTTTGTGTGTTGAAACATATGGGAAAGTAGTCCTACACTTTGTCACAGTGACATTACCGATTCAACCAATTTGAAGAGCCCATTTGTATAGTGATTAAAACTGTCAAAAGTTCATGACTTTCTCATTTTGATTCAGAATTAATTCAAACTTTCATCAGTCTGCTTCCATGATTTGTTTTGCATTCTTCTAGAAGAGTTGTCTATTAAGGTTGGACTTCCCTTTAAGTTTCCTTTCTTAGAGTTCAAATGTTAGTTCATCGACTTCATATATTTATACTACCAGTAATTTACTTTGGAGCTTTTGAAGTGACATTATTTTGTAGGCACCTCGAGCATCTATAGAGATGAATATGTACACTTTATAAATATTGTCAAAACTATCATCATACAAATCTTTGTATAGGTGACTGGTCCCTTTTTAAGTCTTTCAATGTAGGGAAACAAAAACCTGTAACCCATTTTTCCATGCGCTGTTAAATTTGTTACTCTACGATTCATGAAGATATTTGGACTTACCTTTTCAGTATTTGGTTTGACGCATCTTACAAAGTATGGATTGCAGTTATTCAGAGCAGACATCAGCGAATGTAGTGAATCCTGAAAGATTCAGGGAGATACCAAAATGTTATAATAATATATTAATTAACTTAATGCAAAAAAAACACCTGTTATCATCAATTAATAATTTTGGACAATATTTTAATGTTTAAACAACAAAAGTAAAAGGATGCACATATTATTTGGTTGGTGACATTAATGGTATGGAATTTTTTCAAAAGCATTCCTCTGGTTATGATAACATCTATGATTTAAGATTTACCAATACTTAGGTATGAAAGAGAAGTCTTTAATATATTCCTCATATCCTGATATTTAAAATTAATGTATTTTCCATTATCATACACTAATTATATCTATTAAAAAAATCAGGGTTGTTTTAAACTACTGAATATAAACTATCAATTTCAAAATCTTATTTTACTATCAACCATGCTTGTTTCGTACTTTCTTTCTTTTTTCCATTTATTTTTCTCTCCTACTTTTTCTTCTTCAATCTACTCTTATAGTTACCAATTTCACTACTGAATGTCTTAATATTATATTTACGAATTTTATATCATACCATTTGCATGTATTTTATACCTTGCATTTTCATTTGTAAGTTCAAGATGTATCAGATTTGAGCGGTGACTATGAATTTTTAATATTATTCCTTGTAAATGCAATTCAATTTAAACGTATTTGGCCCCTCCCTCACCTTGAACTGAGCGCTGACGGTAGCCTTCTTCCTGGTGTCCTTACCCCTTCCCCCTCCTGACTGCTGGCTCTCCGCTACATTCTCAAACAGGTCATAGATGAAGTCAGATCTGAAAGAAAACAAAGAAATTTTAGTTAAATAAAGCATATTACAGTTAAACCTGCTTTAGTGACCACCTGTCTACAAAGACCACCTGTCTACAACGAGCATATCTATTGTTTCCCTTGAAAATGGTTTCTCATTGAAACATGTACTGAAGGAACCTGTCTACAAAGACCACTTTTTGTGTTTCCCTTGGGCAGTCGCTGTAGACAGGTTTGACTGTAATAGTAACCAAATATATATTGGGGTCATTCCATGAGGTTGGGGCAAAAACGTGACAATGCCCATGTAATGTTGGTATGAGATCGTACACATGGAAGATGAAATCATCTCTTGAAGATTTGTATGCAATGACTATATATATATATACCATATATATATATATAGCAGTGCCCTGCCAGAATTGTTCCTGTTTCAGTTGCTTTTCTTCAAAATTTTTGCTTAATACACATTTCTCTTTTTACCAGTGTTACATAGACATCATATTCATATAACATTACGTAAACTTTGAGAGTTTGGGTCTATAAGATTGATTCTCCAACCACATAGAATGACCCATTGAGCAAGTATCCATCCCACACTATGGCCTATCTGAAATAATAAAAATGTAAAGTTTGCATATCACTGTATCTTTACCTCCTATATATAAACTTCATAAAATGTCTCACTTTATAGGAGAAGCAGATACAGGACTCCGACAAGATTTTAAAAATATGATGTTTAGTTTAATAGTCTTCCAACGAGCTTAAATCTTGGCCATGAACTGCACCAGATCCTGATAATATTCTCAAAATAGAACACAATGAAATGCAAATATTTCTCAAAGATCGAGCAAACTAAAATAAGGATCCCTGGTGCAGCTGCACAGATTTGATTTCCTTCTTCTTGGCATGGTGTCAAAGCGATGAATGACACATGAAGAAAATGATTGAAATTCAGAAAATATGGTTGACACACATTATTAAAGATAATTGACCTTACATGCAAGATCCCTCAATATCTCTTCCGGGGAAAATTTCATCCTTAATTAAAAACAAGAGAGATTCAGAATCCATTGTGATAGCTACTGAACTACATGTACACTGTAAGAAACGATAAGTTTACACAAATTTTCCTATAATGAGAGAAATATTTCTGGTCAAATAATTCATGCTGATAGCATCTCTCCATATCAATATAGAAAGTCTCTATTCATAGTTTATATGTTTATATATATATCATTTTAATGATGGCCTTTGCACTGATCATAAATGTACTATTAAAAATGTTGACATCGTTGTAATAAGAATTTAAATTGTTTAATATTGTGGGGTTTAGATCCCTGAAAATTTGGAGTGGAAAATCAATGTTCATTTTCAATGGTATCATACTGCAATGCCAATAGATCTACACTCATACATTACATAATCATCAAGTTAAAAGTGATTTCACAGGAATACCACTTTCACCAATCATTTCATCTTTTAAATCTATAGTGATAAACCAATACAATATTCTGTACGATGTACATCTATTATAAACATTAAATTGATATATGCTAAAGTACTTATTCATAAGAGACAAAAATACAAAAAAAATGAATTCAAGTTTTATGAGACATAAGTTGCCTTCAAGATGCATCTATAAAGATGTCTGCAGTGTTTCATTCAAATGGCTATACCTTCTCATCAGTATTACAACAATGGACTCTAATGCACTTCTTTCCACTTCTAAACTGAGTTTTGAATAATTGGAGAATTTGGACAGAAATACAACTCAAAAGATGTTATCCCAAAAAATATAACCCCCAAACAATGAAAGCAAATATTAACATCACATCCTTAAAAAGCCCCCATCCAACCGCACACAAAATATTTGTTTATTTTTTTGCAGACTGCAAATCATTCTCATCACAAATATAGAATTTCAAGCAAATTAGATCTGTTACTGTATCAAGGCACTAGAGCCGCTTACAAGCAGGATCACGATACTGTCAGAATGGATTATGGAATACGGCCAGAGAATTTCAGACATGACAGTTCATTTTCAGGAATTGGATTAGGATATTCAAAATAGATTATAGAAATGGTTTTAATCTCGTATGTTTGAATGTTGAAATGAAAGAATATACAAAAAAAAAGAAAAGAATGGGCTCTGATGGCCTGATCTCTATGGTCTATTGTTTAGGTGCTTTCACCATATTAACTTGATTAACATCAATCATGAATGCTTGCACGGCAGCTAAACAAAATGGTGTATCCAGAATTTGTAGGGGGCATTCCCCTTCAAAGGGGGAGGGGGGAGGTGGAATGTAACTGAGTTGCCCTGCATGATATAAAACACTGCTAAATAGAAACCTTTGCTGTTGTCTTTTTTTATTTTTTATTTTTTACTCCAGGCCTTCAAAAAGTGAGGCATATACCTATACATGTATTTATGCCTCTGCATGCATCTATATATAAGAACACTCCATCAATTTCTGAAATAATCAAGAGTAAGATTAGACTTCAAAACAAAAGAGGGATAGAAAGATTCAACTAATGAATTCCTTTGATGTGACATTTCATCTGCTAAGGGTGAAAAGGGCATTAACTCAAATACTTTGAGAGAGTTAGCATCCTTCTGCCTCTCATCATGATTTCATGATGGCTAAAATACGATACATTACATTTTGACACAAAAGATATTATCAGTACTTAAAAGGGATAAAAGGAATCAGTTATTACTGACTATGGATTTAGAAGGATCAGTCTCCATTATATATGTTGTATTATTCATTGCAAGCTAAGCCAAACAAAAGACATTTAATCTTTATGGATCATTTTCTAGTACCTGGTGAATAACTAAGCTTTCAAAAGGGGTCAAAGTCATTGGTCAATAATGGTCACACCCAAGAGATTTCAGTAACAGATATAACAGATTACTTACATCCACATGTATTTAATTTCTAAATAATATTTCATAAGAGTTACACTAAATATATTATATGTACAGCTTGGGCAATAATACATGTAAACTATGCAATAATTGGTTGTACAATATATAATATAATGCAGAATATTCATTAAAAGATAACCAACATGACTGATTTGCAATATAACTTTCAAATGAGATTAATGAAAATTTCTCTGCATTTATGATGTAGGTGCTATGACTTCAGACATACAGGTATATTGCATATTTCTCATGTAATCATTGCTAAACCACCATACACCATGTCCCAGAAATTGATTTGTTTGTGAATTGTGAAACATTTGTTTTACACAATATTTACTGAATGAAACTATTTCTAGTGTAATGTTAGCAAGACATCGGTACTATCTTTTCTTCACCTACCATTTGATCTGATAGTGTCTATATCTCCAAATGTTCACCAAACTTGTATTTTCAAAACCAGAAATACAGAATAGCAGTGATATCCATCACTAAAATAGCATCTCACAAATGCCCACACTCGATCATATCTTGTGCATGTATAAACAGAGAGAATTTTTCAGAAGTATCGACCAAGTCTTATGTTATTCTAAACGATTCACGATAAGGAGCAAAAGTTTCAGCAAATGCCTGATTGGATGCATGAGATAAAACAAACGCACATCCACGATTTTGAGTTGTGTAGAAATGACTCTCCTTTCATTCTCAGCAACTCACAAAAGGAGCAAAAAGCTTCCAGCAGGTGTCTGGATAGTGGATACAGAACATAACAAATATACTTCCAAGATTACAAGAGTTCTTCAGCAAAGTAGAAATGACTCTCCTGTATTCCAAACAATTCACAATAATTAAAAACCAGTTTTTAACAAATGCCTGGATACACAAGATAACAAATATAATTCCAAGATTTAAGCAGGTCCACCTCTCTCTGCTTATTAACAGGTGTGAAGCAGGTACAGCGGATTTGCGCAGAAGGCGCAAACTTCTCCCCAGGTTGACTTCCACAACAAACTCTTGGAAGCAAAGTTACAATCCTGAGGGACCGCAAGCCCTAGCAAACTTCAAAACATTCCTGAACAGTTGTCGTCATCGCAGAGCGCGGACCGCCTCGTCAAACTCTATCGGTGGCCTACCAACTTCCTGCTCTCTGCAACAAGGCTATACCTGCCAATTCTAATTACCCACAATTCCTCTGGTTTGCTCGCGAGAAGGCGAGGGCTTGAAGGAAAATCACCCTATTCCCCATATTAAAAGTGTCTTCCACTTGAATATTGTATATCCTGCCATGGAGAAGTGCCAAGCCCAACACCCATAACAGGGTGCCTGCATGGAGCCCAAGACTATTTGTCTTCGTCTTTTATTTCTTGAAATAATGACAAACAAAGAAAAGTGATTCCTGTTTTTAACATTCAGAATTTCAATATTGTTGTTTCTATTTGGGAGGGGGGGGGGGGACAAATTCGTTTTAGTTTAATGGATTGAATAGGGTGTATGATTGATTCAATTCATTTTCGACTGAAACTAAAACACGCATTCTAAAAAAATCCGAACCTGTTGCTCGGTTTAAGCTTTGGTTAAAAATTGGGTTAACTTTCACTTTGTTAAATGTGTTCTCTGACCCAGGGTCAGGTTTAACTGTATTGATATAATGCAGACCAAAATGTTTAATAGCAGAAGATTATTTCTCCTTAAACCTGTCTGTCCTCAGAAGACAGGAGATGAACGAAGAGGAGCAGAGTAATACTAACACACATCTGATATCATCTCAGAACAAGGTTGCCTGGTTTTCATTGACCTTAGCAATTGGACCCTCCTCGGTTAATTAAAGAGAGAGAAGAGAAATGGGTTAAATGGGAAGGGATGGAGAAGGGGTATGAGAAGGCCATAGACAAAAAAGGGGGCATCTGTTAAAGTGGATAAGGTAGTGGAGTAGAGGGGAAGAGAAGAGGAAGAGAAGAGGAAGAGAAGAGGAAGAGAAGAGGAAGAGGGAGGAGAGGAGAAGGAGGAGAAGGAGGAGAAGAAGGGAGAGGAGGAGGAGAAGGAGAAGAAGAAGGAGAAGAAGAAGAAGAAGAAGAAGAAGAAGGAGAAGAAGAA